TCAGAGGGATGGGGGGGGTGGGAGGGATGGGAAGAGATAAACCAAAGAATTTATGTTCATATATGCACAACCAATTTACAGGGACACAAGGCTAGGGAAGGCAGGAGGGAGATGGGAGCAGGAAGGAGGGGGGTCAATGGGGAAAAAGGGGACCTCTGTAATTATTATTTTATTTATTTCAGATACAGTGGGAGGGAGAGAGAGGATGAGAGAGAGAAAGAAATATCGATGTTAAGGGATACATCGAGTGGCTGCCACCAGCACAAGCTAACCAGGGCTGGGGACAAACTGCAGCCGAGGTATGTGCCCTTAGCGGGAACCAGGAATTGAACCCGGATCTCGTGAGACCGCAGGCCAATGCTTAACTGCTGAGCCAAACTGGCCAGGGCTGTAATTATTATTTTTTTAATTAAAAAAAATTTTTTTATTGATTTTAGAGAGAGAGGAAGTGAGAGGGGGAGAGAGAGAAACATCGATGAAAGAGAATATTGATTGGCTGCCTCTTGCATGCGCCCCATTGGACATGTGTCTTGACCAGGAATCGAATTGGTGACCTCTTGCTGCATGGGTCAACACTCAACCACTGAGCCACACCAGCTGGGCATAATACTTTCAACAATAAAAAAATAATAAATAAGTAAAATCAATAAGTTAAAAAAAACAACTAGCCATACTGACCTCCTACATGTGCCATCACCCCGCCTTTAACATCTCGCCTCTTCCCTGTGTTCTCCATGTTTTAAAACTGTTCATCTTGGCTGGTTTGGCTCAGTGGTTAGAGTGTCGGCCTGAGTACCTAAGAGCCGTGGGTTCGATTCCCGGTCAAGGGCACGTACCTTGGTTTTGGGTTCAATCCTCAGTGCAGGAGGCAACCAATTGATGTGACACATCGATGTTCTCTCTTTCTCTTCCCCCCTTTCTCCCTCCCTCCCACTCTATCTAAAAGAAATCAATGGAAAAATATCCTCAGGTGAGGATTAAAAATAAAAAATAAAATAAGCCCTGGACAGTTTGGCTCAGTTGTTAGAGCGTCGGCCTGCTGTCCAGAGAGACCTGGGTTTAGTTCCCGCTAGAGGCGCGTGCCTCAGTTGCAGTTTGTCCTTGGCCCTGGTTGGGTCGTGCGGGTGGTAGCCACTCAATGTGTCTCTTTCACGTCGATGTTTCTCTCTGTCTCTTCCTCTCTCTCCCTCCCACTCTTATCTGAACAAAAAAAAGGGAAAATGTCCTTGGGTGAGGATAAAAAAAATAAATAAAATTAAAAAAAATTAAAACTCTTCACGCACCATAATTCCTGTCCACTGTGATCCCCATGTCTGTCCACAGACTCTTTTTGCCCCAGTGCTTGCCCCAGCTGGTCCCACTGTGTCCATGTAGAGCCCATGAGTGGACCCCTGTGCAGCAGTTGCTCATGGGCCAGCCAGGAGTGGCCTGTCCTGAATCTACGTGATCTACACCAGGAACCGTTTTTTGTTTGACTTTCTTTGGCTTTGGCGACTGTATGTGACAGAAGCAGCCCAGCACCCCCAGGGCAGAGTTGCGTGGAGCCACTGGAAAAGAAGGCAGCACCTTGAGAGGTCAGGAAGTGGGTGCCCTCACTGTAGGACACTCCCTGCCACCTGCCAGAGTAGTCTGTCTGGTTGTCTTGGGGGTATTTTCAATCAGTTACCTTCACTTCAAGGAGAGAAAGGAGAATGCTTTTCCCACCTGCCAGTGTAAGTTTTTGCTCCATCAGAGGAGGTCCCTGGGAGCTTGTTAGGAATGCAGGTTCTGGGCCCCTAGACCTACTAAATCTGACACTTGGGGGGTGGGCCATAGGCTTTTCTCTCATAAGTCCTGAACAGGATTTTGATTTTGGTCACCATCTGAGGACCCTGCCTCAGAGGGTCCTTCATTCCTGTCCTCCAGCTCTAAGTGATCCTGCAGAGCATAGGGCACTTCCTGTATATCGTTTTCCTGTTGCCAATGGGAGTGAGGAAAGTGGAGTTTGTGTTGGATCCAGTGAAGCAACCATTCTATAGTGCCCACTGTGGGCTCCTGGTGTATGCACCCCTTCGTTGATCTCTTGCCTGTACCTTGTATACTCTGGGCACACAAATTCCAGAAGTCATGTGGACTTGGGGTGAACAGGGTGTAAATATTTAGAATGATGGGCTCATGCCCTTGCAGGGGCATCTGAGAGACCCTCCTATCCAAACTCCTCCTAGGGAAATGGGGGGACAAACTGAAGGCAGAGCTGGAGCCACGTCCCCACCTGAGAGTTCTTGTTGTGGGTACTGTTCTCAAGTTTGTCTCCTAGTAAAGGAGTAAGTGGGGCACCTGCTGAAAGTGACAACTGGGTTCCTCACACCCAACTTCCCTCCCTCTGTGAGTGCCACTTCCACAGAGTCCCTGAGCATGCAAGGGTCAGCTTCTGGAAGAATAAGCCACAGGCCTCACACTTGAGTTGGGGAGGTGAGTGGTAGCATGAAGGACAGTTTGGTGTCATCTTGGTACATGACTGCCTCCTGTGCAGTGCACAGTTTAAGATGAAACAGTTGTTTTTTCACATGGTCCCCAAGGTGGGAGACCTGGTGAACCCCACGTACTAACCACCCAGTTTTCTCAGCTGCCAGTATTCTGCCAGACAGATTTTTATGGGAAGAGCCTCTCTCAGCTGCTGCATTTTTGGTGCTCTGGTACAAGTAGTGAGAAGAACGTGGGCATGTGAAGGAGACAGCATAGGAGTGTCCCTGCGAAATGAGGAGGGGGCTGGGCTGTCAATTATGGGTCCAGGGCTCCTGAAATGCAGGGGGCAATATGAGGAGGTATCCTTGCATAACGATACGGGCTGGACCGTCAATCCAGGGTCCAGGGCTCCTTTGATGGAGGGGAGAGTAGGAGGGGGTGTCCTTGCATAACAAGATGAGGACTGGACTATCAATCCAGGGTTCATCGGAGCTGTTCCCAGTCTGACCTTTCTCGGTTTGGATCTAACATCTCTGAAAATCTGTGCAGAAGTAAGACGAAGCCATGGCCAAGAGGTCACAAGAGTTCCTGAATCAATTACAGTATAGTGACCAGGGCTTCTAAAGTTACACTTCAGGACTGTGGGTAGAAACTGGCCTGGCCCTAAAAGGATCACTCTAAGATCTCAGGGTACAGTTGTCAGCTCCTCTCTCCCTCACAGTGAGGACTGTGGCCTGGTAATGGCTGCCAGCTGCATTGCATTCTTGGCAATTATGAATCACGCTGCTGTGAATGCTCATGTATGAGTTTCTGTGTAGACGTATATTCTCATCTTGTCCCCGCCTTGTTTAAATGATACCAGTTTAAGTAGTATTTGTTGCTTGGTTCTTAGTAAATGGGAGGACATTATTCTGAACACTAGAAGGATGGTCTTTTCTGTGCCTTAAAAAATAAGGTGTTGTACAAAAGGCTACACAGTGAGTGTATGATCCCATTTGTGTGAAATGTCCAGAACAGGCAAATCCATGGAGACAAGAAGTGGGTTAGTGGTTGTCAGGGGCCATGAGGGGTGCTAGGAAATGACTACAGATGGGGATGACCTTACTTTTGGGGTGATGGAATATTCTAGAATTAGTGCAATGGTTGCACAATACTGAGCATACTAAAAATCACTTGAAACAGGTGAGCTCTGTTCTATCTGAATTATATCTCAATAGAGCTATTATTTTAAACATAAGGCTTGTAGTGGCCAGTGTAGTTCAGTGGTTAGAGCTTCAGTCCACTGACCAAAGGGTTGCCTATTAGATTCCTGGTCAAGGGCACATGCCTGGGTTACAGGTATGATCCCCAGCCCTGGTTGGAGCATGTGAGTGAAGCAACCAATCAGTGTCTCACATCTCTCTCGCTCTCGCTCTCTTTCTTTCTCTTTCTCTTTCTCTTTCTCTTTCTCTTTCTCTTTCTCTTTCTCTTTCTCTTTCTCTTTCTCTTTCTCTTTCTCTTTCTCTTTCTCTTTCTCTTTCTCTTTCTCTTTCTCTTTCTCTTTCTCTTTCTTGCTCTCTCTCCCTCTCCATTCCTCCCTTCCACTCTCTCTAAAAATCAATGGAAAAAATATCCTTGGATAAGGATTTAAAAATTAAAAATAAGACTTAAGACCCCAGGGTATGAGCTATTTTGATTCTGTTTTTGGATTCTGAAACACACGAGGCACTCTACCCATGGTTGCTGTCCTCATTTTGTAAAGCAGTGGAAATGGTGGCCTGGGCTAAGAGGAGTCGTTGCTGTCACAGAGCAGCTTTTGGCAGGCTTTTCTCTCTGAGCTTATCCTTTTTGCTGACCCCCTGTACTCACCACTGTACTAACCCTCACTGAGATGGGGAAGGTATACTGCTTATGTGAGAGAAGGACAGAGTCACTTGATGTGTCCTGGTCCTGGTTTCTGCGCTGCCCACACCCTGGTGAAAGGCTTGGAACAATCCCTGAGCTTCTTTGAGGAAGAAGCCATGCTGAACCCCTACACAGTGGGGGCACAATCCTGGCCAGCAGAGGAAGTGGGGTGTGTCTTCGTCCAGGCTGGAGAATGGCCACACAAGCTCTCACAGTGTTTGTTATTGGCATTTCCCATTTTACAGATGGAGGCCTGGGAGGTTCAGTAATCAAAGCCAGTCCTTGGCATCCAGGCCGTAGGAGTGCCTGGGAGAAGCGCCAGTGGCCACTGGTGGGTGTGGGACAGGATGGTTGGGGGCATAGACTTCATCCCTTCCCCTCCCCTGCTGGGGAAAGAGCACTGCAGGAACAGGCCCTCCCTTAGGCAAGCGTGACCTAAGTAGGCAGGGGTCCCAGGACAGTACCCTAGTGCCACTACAGGGCTCTCTGGGGGGTCCTGCCTGAGTGGGGGCCTTGAAAGCTCACTGGGTGTGGAAATGCAGAGATGGGAAAGCCCAGGGGCTGCAGTCCCCATCCTTTAGTCCCTGGGCTCTGAGATGGCCAACCCCGCCATCAGTGGAGGGTAGAGGGACTGCTTGGTTAGCTGTAAACCCTGTCATTTTATCTTTCAGGACAAACACCATGATGCTGCTCATGAAATCATTGAGACCATCCGGTGAGTGTGGCATCTACTGAATTGGGTCTGGCCTAGGGCTCGTTCCCGTCTTTCCAGTGCACCCACCTTCTCCCAGCCCAGCCCCTCTTGGACTCCATGTCAGCATCTTGAGAAGACTTGAGAAGTGGGTGTCAGAGGTTGGTCAGAGGAGTCCAGGTTGTCTGGGTTTGGCCTGGACAGATCCTGGTGTCTCCGCAGGCTTTGGCTTCCCGTGGCAGGTGATGGACAAGGGAGCTCCCCCTTTCTCTACCCCTTGTTTTACTCTTTTTTCCATCTTTCTCTCCTTCTATTGGATTTGGTGCTGATTCAGCCATGGCCCCTTGGTGGGCTGGTTTTCCCTCTATACCCTCAGCAGCACTTCAAGAGCCCAGTCCATGAGAGTGCAGAGAAAAACACAGGGTATGTCAGTGATGACCTTGACAGAACCAGGAGGAAGGTACCCTTCACTATGTCTAACAGGTCTTCTCCCCTTTGGGGACTTGAAGGTCTGGAGCCAGTAGGGAGGCACCCTCCACTCTTTCTGTCATGGACCTTTTCCCCATGCTGAATTGAAAGTCTGAAACAAACTCAAGTGATGACAGTGGCTGCTTCCTGCTTGATATATCCCATGCTTGGGAACCCTGTTCTTTGTTAGTTCTCTTGGTAAACCCAAATGTGTGTTTACTGGCATCTCTCTGTGTTGTTCCTTAACATCCTTAGCCATGTAGCTACCACCTGGACCACATGCCATGAGCCTGCAGGGCCAGGCTGTGTTGTTTGTGGAAGAGTCAGGATGGGCATCTCCACCTTGCTGCCTGAGAGCTGGTGACCTAACAGGCCCTGCTGCTCCTATGGCCGATTTGGTTTGCTCTTGGGGCTGAGCAGAGCCTCCTTGCAAGATTGTTTCAAGAATTGAGTGAAATAGTTTGTGTCGATCTCTGAGCAGGGTGGGCCTGACCTGGTGCCATTGTTGAGATTTGGGATCTACTTATTTTTATAGTATAATCCATAAACCACTCAGTGGTGGAGCAGTGTTACTGGTTGCTTAGTTTTATTTATTTATTTAAAATATGTTTTTAGAGAGAGAGGAAGGGAGCGGGAGAGAGAAACCTTAATTGGCTTCTTCCAGTATGCCCCCCACTGGGGATGGTGCCCAAAACCCAGACATGTGCCCTGACCAGGAATTGAACCCATGACCTCTCGGTACATGTGACAACACTCAACTAACTAAGCCACACCAGCCAGCTCTGATTTATTTATTTTATAAGAGGCTGCTGGTTAGGTGGTAGGAGTGTTGTGGATGAGAGAGGAAGGGCTCTGAGCAGGCGGTCTGGTTCTCATCCACTCCCTGAAGGTGCTCCGTAGTGGTCGGCCTCTCCACTGGGTTTTCCTCTTCGAAGTAGGGTGTCTGGCCAGTTTGAAACTGTACAGCAAGCCTTTTGTTTGGAATATCCAGTTGGCCTGGTCCTCTCCCAGGCTGGCAGTGGCTGCTAACCTCCAGGCCTGAGCCTCACGTCCTGGATCTCAGAACAACTTGAACTCATCCCTCTTTGTCCCCACAGACATTTTCTTCATTGGAAGAGATGAGGGGTTACCTCCTTTTGTTTTTTCTCTTCTTTTACTTTTTATACTTTTACTTTTAAAAATGCAACTGAACCCTGGCTGGTGTGGCTCCATTGGTTGGGTGTTGCCTGTGCCTGGAAAGGTTGCTAATTCTATTCCAGGTCAGGATACATGCCCAGGTTTCCGGCTCAGTCCCCAGTAGGGAGCATGCAGGAAGTAACTGATCCATGTTTCTCTCTCTTTCCCTCTTCCTTTCTCTCTGTCTCAAAATCAGTAAAAAATCTTTTTTATTTTTATTTTATTTTTCTCCTCACCCGAAGACACTTTTGCATTTATCTTCAGATAGAATGGGAAGGAGAGAGGGAGGAAGAGAGAGAGAGAGAAACATCAGTGTGAGACACATCGAGTGGCTGCCACCCACACGACCCCAACCGGGGTCGGGGACAGACTGCAACCGAGGTCTGTGCCCTTAGCGGGAACTGAACTTGGGTCTCTCTGGTTCGCGGGCCGACGCTCTAACCACTGAGCCAGACTGGCCAGGGCTAAAAAATCTTTTTTAAAAAATGCAACTGAAGCACAGAAACTGCACACGTGTGAAGTGTGCAGTCTGAGTAGGGTGGCTGTACACAAGTCCATGCAGAGCAGTCATGGCAACAGACATCTCTGTCCCTCACATTTCCTCATGTCCCCTGTAATCCATCTCCCCCTCACTCCTGTCCCCTGCAACCCTGATCTGCTTTCTGGCACTGCGGTTACTTTGCATTTTCTAAAGTTTTACCTCCTGCCTGAATTGTATACCCCATACGCATAGTTTTGAGATTCTCCGTTGTGTGTACCAGTTGCTTTTCTTTTTTATTACTGAATAGTGTGCCATTGTAGGAGGAACCACAGTTCTTTCATCCTGTGCACCTGTCCACCACATAATGGATGTGTTTCGGTTGTTTTCAACTTTGGCCACCCAGTGAGGACTCTTCCATTTTGTCCCATGTTCCTCTGACTTGCCCGCACCCATTCTGAGCACAGCCTCACTTTCTAGAATTAGAGTCGTCCTGAGTTTCCCACATCACACACACCCTTAGAATCGGCCACTTCTCCAGGGAGTTCTTTGTTTTGCCATTTCTTGAGATTGAATTGTTTGTCTACCCCTGACTAAGTTGTAAGAATTCTTAACATGTTCTGGCAGCGAGTGTCTGGTGAGGTGCTACATGAGGTGTGGTGTAGCTGACTGTGGTTTTAATGGCACCTCAATGAGTGGAAGCTTTTAACTAAGTTCATTCTTTGATGGTTAGTTGTCTGGGTCACATCCAGGAAATCTTTGCCTCCCGAGTTGCAAAGATAGTGACTGTCTTTCATTTTCTTCAAGAAGCTCTGTGGTTTTAGCTTTTACGTTCAGGTTTAAAATCAGTTGTGAATTAATCTTGGTTCGTGTCAAATGGGGTTTATGATTATGGAGGTGAAGATTCAATTTTTTACCATCTAATGCTTGGTGGTTCCAATTTCGTTTGTTGAAAAGATTCTTCCCCATCAAGTTGCCTTGGTGCTTTTATCAAAATTTCATGTTTATATGTTTGTTCTCTGGATTCTGTGTTCGGTGTCACTGCTCTATTTGTTTACCTCTGTCCAGTACCACACACTCCTGGTTACTGCAGATTTATATAGTAAGTCCAAAAAGAAGATAGTGTGAGTCTTGCAACAGTGCTGTTATTTTTAAAGATTATTTTGACTGTTTCAGGTTCTTTGCCTTTGTATGTCAATTTTAGAATCAGTTTGTCTGTTTCTCCAAAAAAGCCTGCTGGGCTTTTTATAGTGAGTACTTTGAGATGGAGTCTGGTTTGAGGAGGTGGTTTAACAATATTGAGGCTTGGATCCCATGAACATTGTTTATGTTGTCTTTAACTTTTCTCAACTTTTTTTTGTAGTTTTCAATGGAGTTCTTGCAAATCTTTCATTAAAATGATCCCTAAATGTTTTTGGTTTTTTTTTAAGTATTTTTAAAATGGATTTTAAAAAAATTCTTTTTCTAATCCTCACCTGAGGATATATATGTTTTTTCCCATTGATTTTTAGAGTGGGAGGGAGAGGGGGAGAGAGAGACACACTGATTGGCTGCCTCCTGCACAACACTGACTGGGGCCAGGGTTTGAACCTGTGACTGCTTGGTCCTCAGGCCGACACTCTGACCGTTGAGACAAATGGTCAGGGCTAAATGGATTTTTTCTAGAGACAGGGAGAGAGAGAAAGAGCGAAACATTGATGTTAGAGAGATACATTGCTCAGTGGCCTCTTGTAGGTGCAACAACCTGGGGTTGAACCCACAACCCAGGTATATGCCCTGACCGGGAATCGAACCCTTAACTTTCTGGTGCATGGGATGACACTCCAACTAACTGAGTCATACCAGCCAGGCTTAAGTATTTATATTTTAAGTAACATTAAAACAATATATATATATTATTTGTTGCTGGTATATACAAATATAGCTCATTTTTGCATGTTGATCATGTGTCCTGCGACCTTGCTGAATTCACGTCTTGAATTCTCTGTAAATTCCGAAGGCTAGACTACACACTTCATGTGTCAGTGAATAGTGATGGTTGTTTCTTCCTTTCCAGTAAAGACTGTCCATTTGTTTCTCATGCCATGTGTGTCTGGCCAGGACCTCTGTCTAGCACAGTGTTGAAGGGAAGTGGGGCCCACAGGCGTCCTCACCTGTCTCCACCCTCCTGGGAGTGTGAGTCTTGCACCCAGTTTGGTGTTAGCTGCAGGGCTCATGGTCTCCTGCCTGAAACCACATGTGCTGCTGACCAGAGAATTCCCCATCAGGAGCTGCTCACTGGGAGTAAAGGGGCTCACTCTGTAAGTGGAGGAGAGAGTGCTAATGCAACCCAGGGGCACTGACTGAGGGACCCTCGGGTCTGGGGAGCACTCGGGAGGTGACACATAGACTGCCCAGCTGGCCCTCCTGACTATGAGTTCGTAATGGGTCTCGAGGGGAGGGCACCCAGACTTCTGAAGTGGGAGTGTGGTCTGTGAGTATGTTTTGGGGGGACTGGGGTGAGGGGATGATAAAGAAAACTGCTAGCTGGATTCAGCAGCTGTTAGAAGTAATACTTCATGCAGGGTGAAGAAGTCTTGCCAGATGACACAGATACCCAGGGACAGAGAGAGCAGTTCCTTATTCCCTCTCAAGTCTCCTTGTGCTCCCAACCCCTCCTCCCATCCTCTGCAGAGCCCAGAACGGAGCCAGCAGACAAAGTGGAGCAAGTGGTTTCTTGCCCAGAGATAACAGCTTCACACCTGACCCCAAGCACTTTATCGGGTTGAGGACAGCTCTTTCCATTTCTAATTTCCTGAGTTTCATCATGAGTAGGGCTTCAGTTTTGTCATGTGCACTTTCTGCATCTATTAAGAAGACTGTAGTATATTTTTCTCCTTTATTCTGTTAATGAGGTGAATTACAGTGATTAATTATAGTGTTAACTCTTCATTCTTGGAATAAACCCCACTTGATAAAGGTGTGTTGCTGAATTCATTTGACTAATTAATATTTGTGAGGAATTTTTGTGTCTGTTGACGAGGGATACTGGTCTGTATAGTCCTTCTCGTAATGTCTTTACAAGGTTTTGTCTTTTTCCGGTTTTGCTATCGAGGTAATGTGGCCTCATAAAACTGAAAACATTTTGGTAGAATTGGTGCTGTTTCTTCTCAAATATTTGATAAGATGCACCAGTGAAGCCATCTGGCCTGGAGTTTTCTCCATGGGAAGGTATTTGATTAGGAAATCAGATTTCTTTAATTGGATAGGGCTATTCAGCTGTTCTGTTTCTTCTCATGTCAGTTTTGGTAATTTGTATCTTGCAAGGAATTTTTTCATTTCATCTAAATTGTTGAATTTATTGGCACACCATTTTTCATTATTTTTGATTTGCCTTTTATTCTTTGTATGATCTGTAGTGATGATGGTGCTTTTGCTATGTTTTTATTTTTTTATTTTTAAATCCTCACCCAAGGATATTTTTATATTTATCTTCAGATAGAGTGGGAGTGAGGGAGGGACAGGGGGGAGGGGGAAAGAAACACTGATGTGAGAGAGACACATCAATTAGCTGCCTCCCACCTGACCCCCACCAGGCTGGGACTGAACTGCAACCTAGGTACGTGCCCTTGACTGGAATCAAACCTGAGACTCTGGTCTGCGGGCCAGTGCTCTAACCACTGAGAAAAACCGGCCAGGGCTTTTATGATGTTTTTAAAGATTTTATCAGGACCCAGTAAGGGTTATACCTTGGGATTGGCTGATATATTTTCTCTTTTAATCTGTAGGTTCCCCCTTCATCTCCTTTTTTCATGCAGTGTGTCTGTTGAGAAAGCCCTGATTGTCATGGGTTAATTCTTCAATAGTAGTTCTCTTTCATTTCTAGTCAATACATTGCTTTTTAAGCTGTCTGGTTTGAGCTGATTGGTTTCCTCCATCCTATAACAGGTAAATCCATGAAGCTACCAAGAAAACATTGTTTGAACTTGAAGCTATATAAAATTTGCATAATTTACAGCCTCATTGTAACTTGACAGCATTTATTTTGAAGCAGTGCCTCTTTTTTCTTTCACATTGAGTAATGAGGATGTTTTCTTTTTACATTTGGGAATAAACAGTGTTTAAGAAAGTTAAGAATGAAATGTTGAGACTGAATAGTCATCTTCATTGCTGTTTCTGCTTTTGTATTTCAGATGGGTCTGTGAGGAAATCCCAGACCTCAAGCTCGCTATGGAGAATTACGTCCTAATCGACTATGACACCAAAAGGTAAGTGCGTTTCTGTCTGAGCTGCTTCTCTGCTGGCTGAACATATGGTGGGGACACAGCTTATAATTAGTTCTTCTTCGATGGTGCAAGCTGATCTGAAATTTCCTTTCAGAGTTGGCTGTAGTCTCTGTGGAGCTATTTTAGTAGGATATTTTTATCAGATATTGGCAGAGGCTGTTAGAGTGAGGACATAATTGAGAATGCCACATTGTGGCAATGGAATTTGGTCTGCGTGAAATCATCCCAAGTTACTAGTCACTATTTTCATAGCAGGCAACTTTAGCAGCCAACCTTTCTACCCAGGAGCTGCTGGTGGCCTGGCCTCTGGAGCCCCCGACCCTGGCCAGCCCCCATCCAACTCTCAGTTACTGTGTGCCCAGCCCTTTGGCCTCGTTCAGCAGTTTCCTGCAGGCACATCCTGATCTCAGAGGAGAGTTCTGTGGGTGGAGAAGGGAGAGGCCAGCTCTGGAATGCCAGATTGGAATTTTTTTGTTTTTCTTTGAGAAAGAAAGATGGCATTCCAGGCTCGTGCCCGTTTTAGCTCTCGGCAGGCTCGAAGTTGGCACCACCAAAGGTTGGTGCTGTCTGTGAGCTTAGCTCACTCTTGATGAAGAACATTGCTCAGAGGGACCTGGGAGCCCCCAGAAGGGCCCCGGCACCCAAGTGTTCTTCACTTGATCTCACTTTTGTGCTTAGAGGCCTTCTTAGTTCTCGGATCAGGGTTTCCTACCTCAGTCAGCCTCTGATTCTGTCCTCTCACCTCTTGCCCTCCTACTCACCTAATAATTGTTACCTTGTGTTGTAAAAAGAAGGGAATCGGCCCTGGCTGGTGTGGCTCAGTTGGAGCGTTGTTCCATACACTGAAGGGTCTTGGGTTCAGTTCCCAGTCAGTGTATATACTCAGGTTGTGGATTTGATCCTTGGTTGGGGTGCATATGGGAGGCAACAATCAATGTTTCTCTCTTACATCAATATTTCTCTCTCTCCCCCTCTCCCTCCTCTCTCTAAAATTAGTGAAAACATATCCTTGGGTGAGGATTGGGGTCGGGGGGAGAAGAAGGGAAGCGCAGCACTCTCTTTGCCCAGGGCATCAACCATGCTGTGGACCCCGCGACAGAGTCTTCTTGCCCCTGGGGTGAGGGTATTTAGGGGCACTGGCCCTTACATGTCAGTCACGTAGTTGGTGAAGCACATCTTTAGTAAGGGGGTGTCTCCTGTGTGCGGGGTCTACAGCAGCAGAGGTTTCAAAGGCACTTTTGCTATAAGACACTTGCAATGTGAGTTAGATGTTCTTCCTTCATGTTCAGTTGGCTTATAAAAGACTGGAAGGATGTCAGAATTGGCACAGAGCAGTGGGGCCAGTCTGTTGGCATCCCTCAATGGACTGGTGCAACCTCAGGGTCAGGCAAGCAGTGGGACTGTTTCTCTATTAAGCAAGGGGACAACAGGGACAGCCCATGGGAGGGCCTCTGTCCACTGTGAGCCTGCTTCTCCCTCATACCCCTCGTCATGTCCATCCTGTTTGTGCAGTTAGTCCTGTGGAATGTGCTGGAGCTCGTTTCTCCTGGGTTACTGACTCATTGCATCGGCCTTCTCTGACGTTTCTGGTCACTGGTCACTGTCACTGAGAACTCTTTGTGAGAACTCTTCAGGCTTTGGTGATGGCTACGCTGGCCTGTCCTTGAATTCTCTAGCTTTTTCTATCTTTCTTCTTCTTTGTTGTTGTTGTTAATCCTCACCTGAGGATATTTTTTCCATTGATTTTTTTTTTTTAGAGAGTGGAAGAAAAGGAGGGAGAGGGAGAGAGAGGGAGAGAAACATCAATGTGAGAGAGACTCATCAGTTGATTACCTCTCAAATGTGCCCCAACTGGGGCTGGGAATAGAACCCATAACCCATGCCCTTGACTGGAAATCAAACCTGAGACCCTTCCATTTGTGGGCTGATGCAACACCGGCCAGGGTGAACTCTAACTTTTTGTTTTTTTTTTAAATCCTCACCCGAGGATATTTTTCCATTTATTTTCAGGAGTGGGAGGGAGGGAGGGAGAGAGAGAGAGAGAGAAAGAAAGAGAAGCATTGATGTGAGAGAGACACGTCAATTTGTTGCCTTCCACATGACCCAGCCAGTGCCAGGGACTGAACCGCAACCAAGGTTCGTGCCCTTGACTGGATTCGAACCTGAGACTCTTTGGTCTGTGGGCTGATGCTCTAACCAATGAGCAAACCGGCCAGGACTGAACTCTAACTCTTTTAATGGCAGCTGCCATCCAGGGGAGTTGCAAATCTGTCATGTGGGCTCTGGTCTTAGTTGAATTTGTTACTTCTATTAGGGAGGAAAGTGCCCATAAACTCAGTAAATCTGGGGCTGAGGACAAGGGGTGGGTGGGTATAGAAAATGCATGTGGGGAGTAGTGGTTCCATGTCCTGTATGGAGAGGAGCCCGTTACTCAGCTGGCATCACCAAGCATCTCCCAGGTATAGTGGGAGCCCCGGGGATGCTCCCTTCATACAGCACACAAACTTGGACATGTCTCTCCCTTATGGCACTGTGGACATCAAGGTTGGGTCACTTTCTGTGGAGCCATCCTGGGCACTGTGGGGTGCTGAGCAGCATTCCTGGCCCCCACCTACTTGATGCCAGGAGCACTCCCATTATGACAATCACAGATGTCCCCAGATATCACCTAGTATTCCCTAGGAGAATGACTGCCCCTGGTGAGAACCCCTGGGTTACGGGATTTCATTGCAAATTAGCAACTGAAATAAAATTGATCATGTTTGGGATAATTTAGTTTCTTAGAAAACTCCCCCAAACTCTGTCATTAGGTATCTAACACATACTGTGTGTATCTTTGAAAGTGTCAGAAACTTTTAAAAAGTTTTAGTGAACAGAAGTGATATTAACATAAAGGGGGGAGGTGCTACCCTCCTTTCTGCACAGGTATAGCCCAGCAGAGCCAGTTGCCCTTTCTGCCTGTGGGTGCTCTCAGCACTTATCCGAGTCAGGGCCAAGGGTGGGAGGCCTTCAGGATCCAGCCAGCGAAAGAAAGGCCCTAGGAGCCCTCCTGGCTGGGTGGGGAGTGAGGGCCCAGTCTGGGTCCCACTCCCCATGGGGCTCTAGGAATAGCTGTGTAAACCCTTTTCTGATCTAAGGCCTGCTGGGAACACTGTTGACCTCGGGTTTGGCCTGTGAGCACATGATATAGCCTCATAGCCATGATTACCTCAGCCTGAAACTCTTGGCCCAGCCTTGTTACCCATATAGGGTACTCCTCGGTGTCCTGTGACCTCTGGGTGGGAGCCAAGCTCTACCTGACCCTGTGCCACCTGTCCACATGCCATCCCCTCTTGGTGTCCTATTCTGAGCTTGACAGTAACCAGCAGTTTTCTTTTGCCTTTTTCAGCTTCGAAAGCATGCAGAGGCTCTGTGACAAGTACAACCGGGCCATCGACAGCATCCACCAGCTGGTAGGTGGTCTCGCTCGCACCTCATGCCTGTCTCTTCATCTAGGCTCCAACTGTGGTTCTCAACCCCTTTCTTCTTCACGTTACCTAATCCCAGGGCTGGAAGCCTGAGGCCAAGGGGCCCTGACTCTTTAGCTCTCTGCGGCTCTGGGCCCATTGCCCATTTTTTTTCCCAGGTAGATTTTCAGGAAGACTGCCTTTCTGAGGCCAGGCTTCCAGAATCCACGGGCTAATAGCCCTGTTGTCTGGTGAGGCAGTGTGGCAGCACCAGGACCCAGGCAGTGAGCATTATGTGCACTGAGGGCCTCGCTGCTCGCCAGTACTCACATACACATGCATGCACACACTCGCATGCACACCTATACACATACTCATATTCTATACACACTCAGGCTCATACACACACATGTACACAGACACACTCATGTTTACACATATTCGATACACACTTGCATACTTTTTTCAATAGGGAGCAGTAACCTGGTTTTGGGGTGTAAAGGTCGTAGGGTGCATTTCCTCCCATGTGACGCATTTCAGCGCTCTCCTTGATGTCCTCAGTGGAAGGGAACCACACAGCCCATGAAGCTGAACACACGGCCATCCAATGGGCTCCTGCGGCACATCCTGCAGCAGGTTTACAACCACTCGGTGACGGACCCTGAGAAGCTCAACAACTACGAGCCCTTCTCTCCAGAGGTGTATGGGGAGACCTCCTTTGACCTGGTCGCGCAGATGATTGATGAGATCAAGATGACTGAGGATGACCTGTTTGTGGACCTGGGAAGTGGTGAGTATGGGACAGGTGGGCCCAGGGCTATGCTCCAAGTCTCCGCACCTCCTCTGTGAAAAGTTCAGAGTGTGGAGTTGCTGGAGGGGGCAGGTCCTCCCTCAGACCCACCGCCCCATTCAACCTTCCTGCAGAACCCCTGGCTCCCCTAGAGATAGAGGGAACCGCTCTATCCTGACAGGTTCTAACTAAGTCCCTTCTCTCCTGCCTCTCAAGACCTGTGGCGGAGGGGTGGTGTCCACTTTGGCACTTTCCAGCCCCAACAGCCCCTTACTTTTTTTTTTGTTAAGCCTCACCCAAGGATCTTTTTAATTGTTTATTTTTTTAATCCTCACCCAAGGATATTTTTCCATTGATTTTCTAGATAGAGTGGAATGAATGGAAGAGGGAGGGAGGGAGGGAGAGAGAGAGAGAGAGAGAAAGAAACATCAATGTGAGAGAGACACTTTGGTTGCCTCCCACATAGCCCGGCATGGCCAGGGATCAAACCTACAACCCAGGTATGTGCCTTTGACCAGAAATCAAACCTGCAACCCTTTGGTCTACAGGTCGATCCTCTAACTGCTGAGCCAAACTGGCCAGGGCCCCCTACTTCTTTGTTATGGGACATCTTCAGCGCCAGTGGAGGCTTCTGGGTGTAGGGTCTATCTTAGCAGGACATCCACAGGGCCCTGGCAGATGTGCACAAGATGAGCTTTATAGAATAAGTATGCATCAGGCTCATTGATTCCTGGTAGGATGTTCTGATTGGCATGTCAGGGCTGATTATGTAACTGTCAAACATTAGATTGCTCTACTAGGAACCTTGTACACAGCCCTCCTTTGTGGTGTCTTTGCCGTCCCCATGTGACCTTGTTTCTACACAACAACCTCATGCTTACAGAGTTGAAAGCTCTGTCTCAGGCAGGCATGTGTGTCCTCAGCGCCTTAGGACAGATGAGTTTTTGGTAGCGTCATTTTTAGTTTAAGCCCTCTTCATGCACACAATTCATATATATATATATATATTTTAATCCTTTTTAATAAGATATTTTTTAAACACCAAACTGGCCAGGGCACAATTCATATTTTAATTGGAACACAAGGGTTCCAGAGCCAGTTATTTAGAAGTTATTTCTCTTATATTGAAAGGGTGATGATTTTTGAAAACCACCAGTCTTGTGCCTGGCTCTCACCACCTCCTCATGACCACTACCTTTGGACCTTCATTTACCTATGTCTATAAACAGTGTGCTTATTTTTATTATTTGAATACCTTCTATTTGAAATAGAAAATTGAGCCCTGGCCAGTTTGGCTCAGCGGTTAGAGCGTCGGCCTGCGGTCCAGAGGGACCTGGGTTCAGTTCTCACTAAGGGCACGTGCCTCAGTTGCGGTTTGTCTCCAGCCCTGGTTGGTCGTGCGGGTGGCAGCCACTCCATGTGTCCCTTTCACGTCGATGTTTCTCTCTCTCTCTCTCTCTCTCTCTCCCCCTCTCTCCCTCTCTCTCCCTTCCTCTCTCTCCCTCCCGCTCTATCTGAACAAAAAATGGAAAAATGTCCTCGGGTGAGGATAAAAAAAAAGAAAATTGAGGGGCTTCTAACACATTATTTGAAATGCAAAACTGACCTCTTGTGGGAAAGGAGGTTGCTGGCTAAGGTCCACAGTGTCACACACTGACAGGCAGTGCCTCTTTTCTGAAGTAGGACAACCCATCTGCCAGCTGTTTGGCCTGCTTGTCTGGCTGCGCAGCAATGCCACCTCCAATCCCGCTTTAAAAACCCAGTCAATGAAAAGTATTGATGGTATTCTCAAGGCAATGTCAGATCTGGTGAGCCTTGCTGTGCTGTTGTGGCAATGTAGTTTGGATTTGAGGTGGATGGGACCCTTACCCTGAGACATCCATCTCTTGGGACTGTGTCTTTGGATAGTTCATGCCACATCTGGCTGTAGACCAAGAATGATTCCAATTGTGGGAGCCAGAGTGTGACAGTCATCCCCTAGTGAGCTCTCATGCCTTCATGGAGAGTCTTGGGGCTCTGCCTGTTACCTTCCTGGCCACTGCCCACCTGGTCCCCCCTCCCATTATGGTGCTGCATCTGTGACGGCCCCTCCCCCTACCTTTCTCTCTGAAGGAGTGGGCCAGGTCGTGCTGCAGGTCGCCGCGGCCACCAACTGCAAACATCACTACGGAGTCGAGAAAGCCGACATCCCAGCCAAGTACGCGGAGGTGAGCTGATTTGGGGACTTAGCCCTGTGTTTGTGCCTCTTTTCTTTCTCACGTTTGTTTGACCCCACCCACAGGTGGCTGGGGAGGTGTATGCTGGGACATGGGGAGGGTGGGTCTTCCAGGCAGGGGCTCCAGGGACTCCGTGGTCTCCAGTGTGAGTTTGGGCCCCTATCAGTATGTTTCCATTCCTCTGGAAGCTACAGCCTCCTTGCCTCCATGGTGGGGTCAGCTGGTGACACTCTCTGGGGAGTGGATGGATCTGAGCATCATCTTATCCCACAAAAGCATTTGTGGCTTGGACTCTGCTGGCCTCTCAGTTCCCAGGTTGGAAACTGTCACAGGCCCGTCTACCATCCATAGGATCCCCAGAATCCTGGAGCTGTTGCTCATGGGTTGTGTGGGTGGAGGAGGCAGACTGGCAGTCTCAGCTCGATCTGTCAGAGCAGGAAGGGGACCAGAGGGTGGACGGGTCTTGAGGAGCCACAGGCTGCCTGCCCGAGTGCATGGAGAGGGCCTCCTCTGCCTCCCTGGTTGTCCTGGGTTTCTGACGAGCTGTGTCTGTTTTGTTTCTTTGCAGACCATGGACCGAGAGTTCAGGAAGTGGATGAAATGGTATGGAAAAAAGCATGCAGAATACACAGTGAGTGCCATCGCTCCATGCCCCTGCGGCTAACGAGTCACTTTACTTCCTCCTCCTCCCGGACCCGCCGTTTGTCTCCTCCTGTGGGATCCAGCTCATCCCCACTGGTGCCACCCCTCCTCACCCATCCTTGCCCTGGCCTGGCTCAAGCTGGGCATGCCTCGTCATTGGAAAAAGGCCTGCTTAGCTCCATCTAGGAGCCTCTTGAATGGGACAGCTGGCATTACCCAAAAGTTCTCCCTCCTCTCTTCCCCTGTTTCTTTTTCACCATTTGTTGGCCATGCTTGTCTTCCTTTTTCAGTTGCCACCTTGAGGGGCGGATTCTAACTCCTCCATGCTCTAAGGGAACAGAGATGGCACATTGTGGCATCTTTCTTTCTGAGCCCTTGGCTACATAAGGGTAATCACCTGCCTTCTGTGTGTGTCTGGGCACCTGGTGAGCTCTCAGGGAGCACTTGGGACTCCTTCTGAGGCAGCTCCTTTTTCCATGTCATTCATGTATGTGTGTGTAGTGGAGGTGGTGCGGGTGGGTAATAGGATGTGGAGGAAATAGCCTCTTCCCCATCTACCGGCTGGCTGAGTGGCATCTTCCTCTTGCTGCCTTCCTAGCAGCATGTGACCCAGCTCACAAGCCCCTTTTATTGGCAAGGCTGAGATTAGGGGCAGCATTCTCTATGGCTCTCTAGGCTCCCCCTCAGTCTCCATCACTCAGCCCAGCCTTTCGACACTATAGTTCCTCAGGCCCTGGCCTAGATCATCTGGTCTTACTGCTTCTCCTGCACAGGGCATCTGTGTCCACATCTTGACATGCATTCCCGTGCTCAAGATTTCCCGTTCATCTTTCTACCAGGGTTTCTTCTGCTACCCATGGACACAAAGACGTCATGTGGTCTCTATTTGGCATGGGTCTAAAACCAGATCTTTAACAGGTCCTTCTCTTCCCATCTCAGTTCATCACCCACCACATACCCAGTTGTTGAGGCCAAAGCCACTTAGATTCTACCTGGTTCCACCAGCTGGTCCTGTGGCTCTTTCCTTCCAAAGAGCTCTCACAACTATTCTGTCCTTTCTCTTTCCACTGTCACTAGTTGGAGCAGGCTGTCCCATGGGATATTGACTTCTGAGCTGGAATTGATGTTTCTTACACGTTAGAGAAATAGAATAAATTATATAATCATAATTTGGGTATTGATTGGGGGTGCAGGAGAGCAGGAAAAAGGAAATTTCCTGCTCCTTAAAAACAGTATAATAGCTTCTTCTTTCACGGATCACGCTTTTGGTGTATTTAAGAGTTCTCCCTATCCCTGGCCAGTTTGCTCAGTGCTCAGTGGTTAGAGCATCGGCCCGCAGACCAGAGAGTCCCAGGATCAGTTCCTGCTAAGGGCACATACCTCAGTTGCAGTTTGTCCCTGGCCCCAGTTGGGGTCCTGTGGGTGGCAACCACTCAGTGTGTCTCTCTCACATGGATGTTTTCCTCTTTCTCTCTTCCCCCCTCTCTCCTTCCTGCTCTGTCTGAAAGATAAATGGAAAAATGTCCTTGGGGCCCTGGCCGGTTTTGCTTAGTGGTTAGAGCGTCAGCCCGTGGACCAGAGAGTCCATCCTGGGTTAGGTTCCTGCTAAGGGCACGTACCTCAGTTGCGGTTTGTCCTCGGCCCTGGTTGGGGCCGTATGGGGGCAACCAGTCAATGTGTCTCTCTCACATTGATGTGTCTCTCTCTCTTCCCCCCTCTCCCCTTCCCACTCTGTCAGAAGATAAATGCAAAAATGTCCTCGGGTGAGGATTAAAAAAAAGAAGAGTTCTTGTTAAAACCTAAGGTCACCTAGGTTTACCCTTACAATATCTTACAGGAGCTTTAGTTTTGTGTGTCTTTTTTAAGTCTGTGATCTATTTAAGGTAATTTTTGCGAAGGATATAAGGTCTTTGTCTTGATTCATTTCTTGTCTTTTTTTTTATCCTCACCCGAGGACACTTTTCCATTTTTTGTTCAGATAGAGTGGGAGGGAGGGAGAGAGAGAGAAACATCGATGTGAAAGGGACACATCGAGTGGTCGCCACCCAGACGATCCAACCAGGGCCGGGGACAAACTGCAACCGAGGTACGTGCCCTTAGTGGGAACCGAACCCGGGTCTCTCTGGACCGCAGGTCGATGCTCTAACCACTGAGCCAAACCGGCCAGGGCTTGATTCATTTCTTCATATGTGGAGATCAAGTTGTTCCAGCACCATTTGTTGCAAAAACCTTCTTTACTCTTTTGTCAAAGATCAGTTGGCTGTGTTTGTGGGGGTCTGTTTCTGGGCTCTCTGTTCTATTCCATTGATCTATGTGTCTGTTCTGTCATTAGTGCATGCTGTCTTGATTACTGCAGCTTTAGAGTGAGTTTTGAAGTCAGATAGCATCATCCTCTAATTTTGTTCTTCTTCAATATTGTGTTGCCTATTCTGAACCTTTTGTCTCCATGTAGACTTTAGAATCAGTGTGTCAATATCCACACAATAATTTGCTGAGATTCTAAGTGGGATTGCATTGAATCTGTAAGAACTGACATCTTGACAATATTGATTCTTCCCATTCATGAACATTGACTATTTCTCCATTCACCTAGTTCTTTGACTTCTTTCATCAGAGTTTTGTAGTTTTCTTCCTATAGATCTTGTACATATTTTGTTAGATTAATACCTATTTTTCTCCTTTTGTTGTGATGCTGATAATAAATGGTATTGTTGTTTTAATTTTAAATTCTGTTTGTTTGTTGCTGGTTTATAAGAAACCAACTGACCTTTACATATTGTATATTAATATATAATAATACCTTTATCCTGTAATCTTGCTATAATTGAGTATTAGTTTTGGTTTTTTTGTTAATTCTTTCAGATTTTCTGCATAGAGGATCATGTCATCTGCGAACAGACCGTTTTATCTCTTCTTTTCCAATCTGTACACCTTGCATTTGCTTTTATTTTCTCATTGTATTAGCTAGGACTTCCAGTATGGTGTTGAAAAGCGGGGGTGAGGAGGCATCCTACCTTGTTTGCAATCTTAGCTAGAAAACTTCAAGTTTCTCACTATGGATTGACGCTTGCTGTAGGTATTTTGTGGATGTTCTTTCTCAGGTTGACAGAGGTCCCCTCTATTCCTATTTTGCTGAGATTCATTATCATGAAAAGGTGTTGGATTTTGCTAAATGCATTTTCTGCATCTGTTGATAGAATCATGTGGTTTTTGTCATTGTGGCCCACTGACATGATGGAGGTTCATTGAGCTGACTGTCCATACCCAGGGTAAATCCCACTGGCTCGTGGTGTGTATTCTTAAACGTTGTTTGTTTTTTGTGTGTGCTCTTGTCTTGTTGAAGATTTTTGCATCTATGTTTTTTTCTTATATATAAGTCTTTGATTTTGGCGTTGGGTGATATTCACCTCATATAGTGAGTTTGAAAGTGCTCCCTCCTATGCTATTATGCTTTTCCTGGACTAGGACTTGCACATTTAGAGTGTGGGCCTAGTTCTCCTTCCTTTTTTCTTGGTGGAATGTCTTCCAGAATTTTCTTTGCACAGTGAAAGGTGAGGAATCATATTCTTTGACCTCTCCTGTTCCTCCTACATCTAAAGTTCTCTGGCATTTGTCCTGCAGGCTGATTGGGCAGTAAGTTCAACTGCTTCTTATTCCCAGGAAACTTTTTCCCTCCTAGTTTTTGTATCCACTGGCTGAGAATTCCACATGGGTAACCATTTTTCTAAGACTTAACGACTCTCTTTTTTTTTTTTTTTTTTTATCCTCACCTGGGGACATTTTTCCATTTTTTGTTCAGGTAGAGTGGGAGGGGGAGAGAGGGGGAGAGAGAGAGAGAAACATCGATGTGAAAGGGACACATCGAGTGGCTGCCACCCGCACGACCAACCAGGGCCGGGGACAAACTGCAACCGAGGCACATGCCCTTAGCGGGAACCGAACCCGGGTCTCTCGGGACCGCAGGCCGACGCTCTAACCGCTGAGCCAAACCGGCCAGGGCTTAATGACTCTCTTAAAACACAGGGTTTTTGTTTATTTGTTTTTTTTTTTTTAATATGTTTTATTGATTTTTTAGAGAGAGAGGAAGGGAGAGAGAGATAGAAGTATCAGTGTGAGAAAGACACATCAGTTGGTCGCCTCTTGCAGGTGCCCTGACAGGGCCAGGGATTGAACCTGCAACCCAGGTACGTACCCTTGACAGGCATGGGCCGACGCTCTAACCACTTGGCAACACCAGCCAGAGCCAAAACACAGGTTTTTGAGTTCAAAAGAATGCTTTTTGCTTCTGGCGAGTGAGTCCAACAGTTCCAGACACACAGTATAAGAAATTTTATTGATCAGGTTCCCAAAATAGCCCTGATCAATCCATGTCTGGCTTTCAGCACTCTGTTTGGAGTACAGTTTGGAGGAGGCTGGGGGTGGGGTTGTGCCCTAGGCACATCATTTCTCCTTCCTTCTTCCTCCTTCTGTCACCATCAAGAGGTAGAGCCTAGGTCTGTGGGTGTTTGAGGGTCAGTGATGCATCTGAACATTGTGCTGCATATTTGGGCACAGAAGAGGGGCTCCCTGCATGGAAACCATGTCATTCTTTTGGTCTTGTGGAGATTAGGGTGCTCCTTAACTCCACGTGGCCTCTGCGAAGTGGCAGGGAACAGAATTTGACTAAAAGGACACTTGGTTCCAGCCTTGCTGGGGTCTGGAATAAGCTGGCTGCAGGCTGAGCAGTCATCTGTGCCTTTGGGGTCCTCTCTCCTGCTTCCAGAGCTCATTCTGTTGCATGTAGCCCTGCTCCAAGAGGGTCTAGTAGAGTCTGCCTGATTGCTAGATGCCTGGATTTGGCAGGAACGTGAGTCCTGGGTCTTGAGAGACCTCCCAGCAGCTTTCTGTGGCTTTGACCAGGCGCCGGGTTGGCAAGCGGAGTCCTGCCTCCTGTTACTTAAGAATTGCAGAGGAACAAAGCCAACAGGAGCCTAAAAATAGCCCAGTGTACTTCTCTAGGCCCCAGAGTCTGCTTCTCAGGGCCAAGGATCCCTGGTGGCCCTTCTCCTCCTCTGTTTCCCTCTCCACCTGCAGAGGCACCGCCTAGCCAGGCAAGGCCAGCCTCTGCCCCTGACCCTCCCTGTCCTGTATCCCAGCAGTTGCCAGGTGTCCAGAACCTTCCTGCCCATTCATATTTCTTCTTTTGTTGGAGCCCTATCCCCTCTTTCCATTTGGCTTCTGTCTGCTTATCTCTCATACCTCAGGGCACTCCCTCCACCTGGGAGATGCTTTGTCCAGCTCTCTGCTCAGGCTGATGTCTGGAGCCTCCACAGCACCTCAGTTGTCTGCTCACAACCTGACCATGTGTTCTTGGCTCATGATGATGGGCCTAGCACCCAGGTTTCACTCAGTGTGTGGCACCTTAAGCAGCTGCAGTCTTATGGAAGTGCTGTGTGGGAAAGGTGCCCAGTAGCTGTGGACCTGCCTGTGCCCCTGGGGACAGATGCCTCTACAGGAAGTGTCTCGGGTCCTCCACCTGGGTAAGAGCTGCTCCGTTCAGGCTTGTCCACATTAGGACAGCCTGATGCTGCTGAGAGGCAGAAGGTGCAGAGTTGTCGAGTACTGGAATGTTGGCTGCTTTGTCTTTAGGAAAGTCATCTGGAGCTACATGCATTCTGGAGGCACTGGCACAGCTTTACTCTGGCCCGCCTCTGGGTTGAGTCTGTGGGAGTCAGACAGTTCAGCTGGGCATTGTCTGTAGATCTGTGACTGCTTTGGGGCAGGTTGGCAGAATGACAAAGCCTAGGGCCTCCTCTCAGTGGCTCTCACTCACCTGGCTTTGAGTGGGGCCTGCCTTGGTCTCCCCATTGGAGTGGATGCTTCACACAAGCCATGCTCTTTTTCCTGGATGTTGAGAGCATGTGAGTTTCGTACAGGTGTGGGTGGTGGCTCCCAGGAGGATGTCTGTGTTGAAGCAGAGCTGGCTGGGACAGGGGTGTGATCACCCTGCCTGAGTCAGACTCTGGACCTGCCTGCTAGCTTGGAACACGAGCAAATTTTGTTTTCCCATGGAAAGGATGATATGTATGCCGGGAGCTCTTCCCATCTCTCTTTCCCCTCATGCATGTTTCCACAGATGGGAGAAATAAGAGAACTCCGTGATATTGGGGCCAGTCACAGGTTTTTGTAGGGGAACGTATACATCTTTCTGGCTGGAGTTAACTCGGGCACATTGGCCTCAGTGACACAGAACCTGCTCAGCCAGTCACTCCTCAGATGGTCACAACCCAAGAGCGGTGGGGCCTGGCAAGCAGAGGCAAAATGAGCAGTGATGCTGTGTCTTGAAACTATGGCCTAGACAAGGGAGTCTCCAGGATGAATTAGGCCATGCCAGGAGGAGCCTAGCCTAAAATTATCTGTGTCAGGGTCCTCAGGACCACCCCCAGGTTTGGGGATTTGCAGGAAGACCCTAGGACAAAGTAGGTAGACATCCTCATGGTTGTGGTTTATACAGAGATTAGACAGAAGATAGATGTTAGGCCTTTTCTGGGAGCTGTCTTGCACAGCACCAGTGAGGACTTTGGCCTCGAATCACTCCCCTATGTCCTGTCTGGGCTGTTCATGGCTATCAGTGGCAGATGGCAGATTCCAAGGTTCCTCAGGTGGGGGAGAAGATGTGGGCAGGCCCTTACACAGCACCTGAGTGTTTTAATTTTTTTTTTTTTATTCTCACCCAAGGACATTTTCCCATTTTTTGTTCAGATAGAGTGGGAGGGAGGGAGAGAGAGAGAAACATTGACGTGAGAGAGACACATCGAGTGGTTGCCACCCACACAACCCAACCAGGGCCGGGGACAAACTGCAATCGAGGTAGGTGCCCTTAGTGGGAACCGAACCTGGGTCTCTCTGGACTGCCGGCCGGCGCTCTAACTGCTGAACCAAACCAGCCAGGGTGCACCTGAGTGTTTTAGAATGGGTCACTTCCTCATGCCCTGTGCCGTCACATCACATGCATCATGTCACAAGATATCCTGTGTGGTTTCCATATGTGCCCTGAAGGACATAGAATTTGCAGCTACTCCTGCCCTGAGCACATGGTCTCACTGCATTGTGACAGTAACACTCATAGGACACTCTGCTTAGGGTCTTCCTTCTGTCCTATCCAGAGAGCGATGCAGTGCCCATCAGGCTCCTGCTGTCTTCTCGAGGAGAAGGAATTTCTGGTCACCTCACAGCACTTGTGGTATAGATGAGGGCCTATCAGCAGTCACCCCTAGCCCATTACAACCACTAACCTACTTCCTGTCTCTCTGGATTTGCTTATTCTGGACGTTTCACATGAATGGAATCACACATTTGGTGGTCTTTTGGGTCTAGATTCTCTTACTGTGTATCATGTCAGGTTCATCCACATTGTAGCGAGTATCAGTGCTTCACTTCTTTTCATGGCTGAGTAATACTCCAGTGTATGGATAGGTCACTTGTGTTTATCTGTCCATCCATGGATGGGCGTTTGGGTTGTTCCCACTTTGGTTCTGCTGTGAATCGTGCTATTTTGGATGTCCAAATACAGGTTTTTGTGTGGACATTTTTCTTGTTGTCTTGCATAGACAACGTGGAGTGATGATGATAGCCTTTGAATAATTACAAGATCAATTTTCTTGGTTTGGTAAATGTTACAGCTCTGGACAGTTCAGTTATTAAGAACTGTTTCCTCTTGGACAGTCTTTTTCCTTGAGGCAGAATGACATTAGTGGGCTAATAAAAGTAGTGCTGAGACCCTGGCCCTTTTGGTTCAGCTGTTAGAGCGTTGGCCTGTGAACCGAAGGGTTGTGGGTTTGATTCTCGGTCAAGGGCATGTACCTGAGTTGCAGATTCTATCCCCAGCCCTGGTTGGGATCATGCGGAGGCAACCAATCGATGTGACTCTCACATCAATATTTTCTCTCCCTTCTCCCTCCTTCCTTTGTTCCCTTCCTCCTTTCCACTCTGTCTGAGAAGCAGTGGAAAGATATCCTCAGGTGAAGGGAATAAAAATTTATTTAAAAAGTACTGGGAGCCGGTTTTACAGGTCCAGAAGGCACTGTTCTAAGGAATAGCAGGTCAGAGAGCCACAGTACAGATGTGTTCCATGTCAGAGTAAGAAGCCTAGCCTATGCCAACTCGACATGCAGCCCTTTCTCGTGGTCAGTGGTCTCTGTCCTGGACACTTCCCTGAGTGCCCAGTGCAAGTTTCTTGTATCACTTTCCAACCCACCCTCTGTCCAGAATAGCCCAGCTGGTGGGGCAATGACCTTCCTTGGCTCTGCAGGCCATGTATTGGTGCGCCCCCTGCTGTCCCTGAGTGAACACAGCATAGTGACTTTCAAGCATATTTCTCTAATGTCTTCATTGCTCTATGCGTTAGCTCCCTGGGGTGGGCGCTCTAGCACTAGTCAGGGTACCCACTCTGGTGGTTCATGGTGACCCACACTGCAGTGTATAGTCTCAGTTTATCCCCCTGACTGTCTCCTCTTCCCTGTGGAGTCCCGGCGGCCATGCCTTGGTCTTACCTCACTTTCTGCCCTCTTTAGTGACTTTGTGCTCATTTCATCTGATCCTCGGCAGGTGGGGGCTGGCTCAGGGGCCAAGCGAAACCCGTGATGAGCCCTGTCCCTGTTTTCTTTCTTTCAGCTGGAAAGAGGCGATTTCCTCTCAGAGGAGTGGAGAGAACGGATCGCTAACACAAGGTATGGCAGGCTTGGGAGTCACCACTCACGCCACCATGAGGACAGCGCTGGGGCCTGGCTGGGCAGGGCACCCCCAGGGAGGATCTCGCTTTCGCAAGTCCCTGTGTGGCAGGCTTGGCTGTCAGGCATGGCTGCCTTTTCCGAAGCAGAGCTGGATGGCAGAGGCAGTCATAACTTCTCTTCCTGTCCTTTCCCTTCTGGTTCAGGCTGCCAAGGGTCACTCTCAGGACTGTGAGCAGGGCAGGTGGTCAATGACCAGCCCAGGGCCAGTGTGGCCGGCCCCTAGCTGCCTGTCAGGAAGGCCCTTTCCTGCTTTTGCAACCAGGGAGGGAAAGCTGCCCAGAGATCTTGGCCCTGAGCTCAGCTCTCATCATGTCTGCACTTGGACACTGTGCTCTGTGCCTGGTAAGGGGAGGCATTTCTCTGCACTCCTTATGGGTTGAGTGTAGCATGGTCGTGAGCCACCTGTCCTGTCTGGAAACACCCTGAGCTTGCTGGCAGGTCTGCCTGCATGGTCCTTGGAAGAGAGGCCATCCCAGAACCCTCCCAGCTCCAGCAGGCCCTTCAGCCTGAGGGCTTGACGTGTGACCTCCATGTCCACCAGCTCCTGTAGCTGTGTTTCAGTTCTTCCCTGCACTCTCTCTTGTTATTTTCCCTTTGTCCTTCCACTGGCCTCAGGCCAGGGCTCAGATATGCAAGGTTGGATTGCTGTGCTCTGCCCCTCAGGTCTAGCGAGCTGCAGATTCGATGGGCCTCCCTGGGTAAGCAGGAGGGAAGGTCAGAGTGTGAGTCTTGTGTGAATCAGCTGGAGGTGGCCAGCACCTCGATGACTGTGAGGCCACATTGTGCTCTCTACAGTGCTCTTCCTGGGAAGTTGTGAGCTGGCCTTGCCGGTGTGGATCGCAGGCTTTCAGTCTGACTTGCTATCTTGTCCCTCCCTCCCTGTCCTGGGCCCACCTACTGTAGGTTGCCCCATGTCCCCCACTGTGCAATTTTTTGAGGCAAATAGGAACTAGGCATTGCTCTTTCATAGAAATGCCCCCCTTTTGTGCTTGTGAACCCCCTGTCCCCCAACAGCCAGGTTCTCCCCATTTTCTTGAGAGAATCATGATAACTCCATGGATGTCCTCATTGAACAGGGTCTGGGGCTATGCTGCTGTTGTGGTGGGCTGAGCAGGGTCTGAGTGCAGTGGGGAGAACCTCATGCTCACCAAGCAACACCCAGGCTGTGGTGTCCTGTCTTCCAGTCATCACAGAAATGTGAGAGTTTCCTGAGAGCACACTGCTCTCTGGACCTCTTCTGCCCTTTGTCCACCTGGCCTGCGGTAGTCCTGCGGGCTCTGCCCTTCAGTCTCTTCTTCCTATGAACAGAGCCTAGTGTTTGGAGACTGTGTCAAGGCCCCAAGGCCGGGCTCTGCTTGCATCCTCTGGATATCCCCCCGGTACTCAGCTTTCTATCAAGGGTGTCCCCTCCTCACCAATGCTTTTGTTTTCAAGGCTGGCCCCTACCTCAGTTAGTTTTCTGGTTTCCTCTGGTCTGAATATGAGAGGGCAGAAGTGTCTGTAGCCTCTGTCTTCAGTTGGCGGTCCCCAGGGGCCTTTCTGGTTCTGCCCTCTCACCACCTTGGTCACCTTGAGACTCTGACGTCCAGCCTTCCCAAGCTCGATCCCGAGTAGGACTATGGCCTGGCTCAGCTCATCTGTCCTCACCATGCTCTGCCCATTGGCATCTGGGGTGCCCCCATCCCACTTTAAATCTCAATGTCTTCTCTGTTTCTCTCTGCCTGACTGAACAGGAAGAGGGTGCTGGCCTTTATTTACACCTTCAGTGTCCTTCCTGCCACTCTGCTCTTGCTGTCAGTGCCTATTCTTGCACATATCAGGTCTTCTGTTACAGTTCCTTCATCTGCTTGCTGTGAGGGTTGAGATTTCTTGATTTTAAAGCTATTGAGACTTAATTAAAACAAGCAGCGTGGGGATGGCAGCTCACTCCATCTTCTGTCATGTTCAAAAGAGGAAGTGATCCCCTCTCTGCAGTTCTGTCCGTGGCCCAGTTTTAATGTGGAGGCACTACAGCAGAGAGGAAAGCCACGTGCCTCTAAGTATGAAACTGTCTGTCTTGTCTTTGTGTCTTCATGGGAACCAGCTACACAGATGTTTTTAGCACTTAGCCATTCAGAAAGTTCCTCTAAGTGGGCAAGGGCCAGATTAGTTAGATGAAGGAGCAGGCAGGGGAACACCTCCTTGTTCCCAGCAGGAGCAGCAGTCTTCTCAACCGTCCCAGCAGGCATCTGCAGACCGAAGTTCCTTTGGTCATCTGGTGCTAGAGAACGTTTAAACAAGTGAGACAGGCTGAGTTGCATTCTCCCTTGGAAGACGCTTGCTTCTGGTTCCAAGGGCCCTTGGGGGTCACATTCAGATGCTGCTGGACTGTCATGCTATCTTCCTGAGTCTTTGATTATCCTCACAACCCTGCCCCCAGTTATGCTGCCTGCGTCCCAGCCCAGAAATGTCCAGCAATGTGATGGTCATGGATGTTTCTTAGTTGTTCTATGTTAGTAACATATTTGGGACCTGTGGGCTCCAGAGCCTGTTCCCTGAGTTGGGTGGAAGTAGTTCAGGCAGAGCCTAGGGAGGCCTCACAATGGAGCTGTCAGTGGATGCGGTAGGCGTCATATACATTGGCGCTGTATACACATGTGAAGATGGAACCTTCATTTTACTCAACTGGAATATTATTTTGCAGTGTTATATTTGTGAATAACTTTGCCTTTGGTCCTGAGGTGGATCACCAGCTGAAGGAGCGATTTGCAAACATGAAGGAAGGTAACGTACCTACCCCTTAACCCCATCTTTATGTGGCTGCCGCGTTGACCATACTTCTCGAGCCACCACCCACTCAGTCTGGCTAGATTTGACACAGATCATAGGTATGGGAATTCTTCTAAGTTTTCATGTCCATTCATTTCAGGCCCAATTGAAAGAGGCCTCAGGCAGTGGGGATGCCTTGACTCTGTCCTGAGGTACCAGGACAGGTGCCTCCCATCTTTGTGTTTGGAGTGGAATAGACTTGATTTCCCCACAACTATTCAGCCAGCCTGAGGGACTTGGGGTGGGTGGCCAAATTAGCAAGTAATATACAGGCTATCCGTTTAAATGTGAATTTCCCATAGACAACAAATAGCTTCTTAGTGCACGGATGCCCCAGCTTTTACTAAAGGAATATTGTGTGTGTCTGAAATTTAGACTTACCTGGCATCCCTGTTTGTCTGGCGGTCCTAACCTGGGGACACTGAGAGCACTGGGATATCCAGCCCAGGCCCTTCTGCATTTTCTGGGCCTTTCCTATTTAGAACCGCCTCTACCTGGCCAGAACCACCCTACTGCTTCCCTCAGCCTCCCTTTCTTCCATCCAGGTTAGATAGCAGCCCAGCCCCGATCTGGGTGGGGGAGGAGTAAAGTCATAGACCCAGATAGCTTTCATCTGCCTTCAGCACTGCCAGTTTTATGTGCGTGTATGAGCATGTATGTGCCTGTTTCTGTACAGGTGAGCATGCATGTGTGTGCATGGTTATTTTAAATTATTTGTAAGAGTGAGCAGCCACTGTCCACTGCACCCTGCACACACCTTGTCTCCTGAGCCTTCAGGCCCTTCCTTCACCACCTGCATTCCCCAAGGAGAGGACTGCAATTCTTGTGGCCTTTGGGTCCCACCCCACCTTGAACATTCCCAGTGATCTGGAGCACCTCTTCTGTTTTTTCCTAGTCATGAGTGGCCTTCAGGCTTGGGCTGTTACAGGGTTTTGTTAGTAAATGGTTCCTCTATCTTTTTTGATGATGTCCATGTAGTATCTGGACTTGTTGTCCTATGGGATGTCATCTGTTTGGACTGAGCCCTTGTGGTGAACTTGACCTTGCCCCTCTGAGCTTCATTTCCTGCAGGTCTCACTGCCTGGTTTTCACACAGGGCCGGCTCAGGGGCAGGATTGCCTGCTATGCCCTCTAGTCACCAGTGATCTGTTGTTCTGTAGTGACTTGCCCTCAGAATTCCCCTCATGCACTACTTGTCATGTGAGCTTTGCAAGATGGCATATTCCTGATGAGAATGGTCTGTGGACCCCTGGGTTTTATTTCATTGTATCCCACACTCTTAGATGCTCCTGTGACTGAATACCCTGCAAGGTCTACAGCTCCTGCTGATTCCCTGGCATAACAAGGCTCCTTCCTGACCCTGCACTACCCTGGTCCTGGGACCCATCATCTTTTCTTCCTAATGGGGGTGGTGCTCAGGAGCAGTCTTGCACTGGGGAGCTCCCCTAACTGGGGTGTTATGGGGCTGTGTTCATGTGTATGGGTGTGCATGTGCATGTGTGTGTGTGCCTTAAGTGGATTTATCCTGACTTTTCCTATTTCCAGGAAACATTTTCTTTTACTTTTATATTTGGCTCTTTTTTCTGGCACTGCAAAGTTTAGCATTAACATCTTAACTTTGGTGTTTTCTTCAGTCCCTGCGGAACATTGTCATAATCATAACATGAGCAGCACCACTCACATATGCTCCCCGTGGCAGGTGTGACAGTCCATTCCTCTGTGGAACAACCACACTAACATGGTTAGCGTAATAACTGTTTTCTGTGCAGCAGTTCCTGACATGACACAAGTCTGGGTGGTCATAAGGGCTGCTGGTGCCTCCCAGATTCGATATGGGACATGCATCTACGCAGGTGGGGGTTACTGAGTCAGAGGTTGGCATCTATGGTCAAGTTTCTACAGGAAAGTCTTTAGTAGGTCACCCCTCAGTGTACCTTAGTTTTGCTTTTACTTGTAGGAAACGGAGAGCACTCATGATCCCTGGCTGCTTATGTACACAGTATGCTCGTTTCTTCCTTTATAGCTTACCCTCTCATGTTCTAACTTCCATCATCCTTCCGTTAGTGTGTTTATGACTGTTTTCTCCACGAATGGCAATAATCAGCTCTTGTGTTTCAGGTGGCAGAATTGTGTCCTCGAAGCCCTTTGCACCTCTGAACTTCAGAATAAACAGTAGAAACTTGAGTGGTAAGAAACTCTTATGTTGCTAAATTCTTAATATATATAATGTTAAGCATCTGACACATATAGGGCCCCTCCTTGGCACTGTGACACTATTGTGCCAGGTCATCTCTTTGGGGGCTTTCTTGAAACCCACTTGATGCCAGGAACACCCCCATCTTGACCACCACAGATGTCCCTAGACATTGCCCGGTGTCCCTTGGGGACAGAACCACCCAGGTTGAGACCTCACACATTTGACACGAGGTTATAAAGACTCAGTGGTTTGCAAACTGCTTTGATTTTACGTCTGATTGGCCTGAGGGGCAAATGGCCGGTGTGTGTGATGGGCTCCAGGTGCAGAAGCCTTCAGCAGGAGGAGCTGGACCTCTGGCCTCCTGGGGAAGAAAGAGCCATGTTGCTCTGTGGCACCTGGCCTTGGGGTCATAATTTCTCGGGTGCTGGGCATCTTAGTAGCCGTGTTCTTTCCAAATGGTCCTCAAGTGCTTTTCCATCCCACCCAGTCAGGCTCGTTGCCGTTTTCCTTGGACAAGCACCTGGGTTAGCAGGGATCATTGTGCACGCCGTGCGCCTCTCTGACCTGCCAGCGTGCTGATATCCAGGCACCTCGCCGGCCTGGCGAGTGGGACGGCCTCACGTGATGAGGGCGCGCGGTTCTGCTCCCTTCCTGCCTCGCCCGAGTCATTCCCCCGGGTGCACAAGGCCCTAACCTGTGCCCGTCGTTGCAGACATCGGCACCATCATGCGCGTCGTGGAGCTCTCGCCCCTGAAGGGCTCAGTGTCGTGGACGGGGAAGCCCGTCTCCTACTACCTACACACCATCGACCGCACCATAGTAAGTGTCTCCATGGATGAAGCCCAGGCCCTCCTGGAAAGCCTCCTCCCTCTCCCCTTGCCCCTGCCCCCACAGCATTCTCCCTGGATGATCTGTGACACTATTGTCCCACATCACAATTGGGAGCCAGGAACTCTTTGTCTTCCCTCTTTGCTCCTAGTCCTTGTATGAGTCAGACATTGTCCTGAATGATGTGACGATAATGGGCTTGGCCTCAGTGTCAGAGGCTTCTGGTGTCCAGGGAATCCCTGAACCCTCCAGCCTGGTTCCCATCTAGCTCACTTCATGTGAGACAGCCCTGCAGGTCTGCACGGCCCCTGAGAGTGGGAGCCTGCTTTCAGGGTGGGTCTTTGGGCAGAGGTGCATCCCTATGACAGTTCCAAGAAAATCTCATGTTGGCGTGTCTCAGGTGTTGCTCTTGTCCTAATGGGGTTTGAGCCTATTGTCTAATAAGATTTTTTCCTTTCCTTTTTTATTTTTAGCTTGAAAACTATTTTTCTAGTCTGAAAAATCCGAAACTCAGGGTAAGTATGTGTTCCCCTCACTGAACATCACAGTTTGATGTTACTTGATGAGTTTGATGGAACCTCCCGAGTGGTAGACGGAGAGTGCTGCTTTGGGGATGGAGGTCATGTTTCCGCAAGGCCACACTTTCTGTCAGCAGTCTTTTGGGAACTAGACTGAGTGCATTTCAACCTTTGAACAATGTTGTGGTAGCTTGGTGAAGTGTGCAGAATGTGGGATTGAGGGAACTGCTCTCAGCACACTGACCCACCACGTCTGGAACTCAAGATATTCCTCTCTGTAAACAGACAGCTGCTTCTAAGCTGAGTGCCATGCTTGCTAGAGGAGAGTGGCCTGGACTCTGACATGGTGGTTCTGCTGCCGGTCCCAGTGTACCTGCAATGCCCAGTCCTTAAACCCATCTCCCCTAGACCTCAGAGTACGTCTGTCCAAATGTCTGTGCTTCTTGAGACTCAGACAAGCATCTGAGCAGGAAGAATCCCCCATTGCCTAGAGACCCATGTCATTTCTGCCATAACTGGGTGTTAATGAGGTTGCCTGCCCCACCCCCTAGCACAGAGAACAAGCTAAGCCAGCCAGCACGCACCATCCTCTTTTCTTTTCCCACAGCCTTTCCAGTAACCCTCACTTAGCAGATGTACTTCAGTGTGGGGCCCTCATAATCCTAGAGAGGAGAGAGTACTGTTAGGCAGCTTCTTTGTCCTGCACCCAGAGCCTTTTTGTCTTTGATTTTATTTCTTCACACGTGTCATACACAGGTCAGAAAGCCGCAGGTTTCTGATCAAGAGGTCTGGGTGTGGCCTCACCCACACAGTAGACACACACATGGCTTGGGGCTGGATAAGGGCCAGGGACAGCTCACGGGCTTCTCTGTGCCTCAGTTTCCTCCTCTATTCAGTGGGCAGAAGAGTTGACATGAGCAGAGCTGGGCCAGGTAGCCCACCTTGGTAGCTCCAACAATGCCAACACTTTTGGGGACATATTAGCACTTTTGGGTCATGCCTGCACTTTTGGGGACACATTGACACTTTGGGAGACACATCCAACACTTGGTTTTCAGGAGGAACAAGAGGCAGCTCGGCGCCGGCAGCAGCGAGAAAATAAGAGTAATACGACCACCCCCACGAAGGTGCCCGAGAGCAAGGCTGCTGTGCCTGCAGACACCTCTGTGGTAAGCACCCTGCATCTGGGATCAGGGCCCTGTGCATCTGTCAGTGGTTACAGTCCCTGGCTGTCTTGCCCTTGTAGAGGGAGGGGCTCTTCCAACCAGAGAGGTAGTGCTGGTCAGTACACATGTTCGTTGGTACTGGTCACCGAGCTGGAGGAGGGAGGGGGTCCCTGAGGTGTGGGGTGCCTCTGTTCAGTCACTCCTAGAGCCTGTGTTGTGGGCTCATTACTAACAGAGGGAAGGATGGGAGGGCGTTGCTCTCTCATTGGCCCCTGTCCACTAGGATTCTGGTGCTGAAGAAGAGAAAGCCGCGTCGACCGCTATCAAGAAGCCATCCCCCTCCAAAGCTCGGAAGAAGAAGCTGAATAAGAAGGGCCGGAAGCTAGCTGGCCGGAAGCGTGGACGTCCCAAGAAGATGAGCACTGCGAACCCTGAGCGTAAGCCCAAGAAGAACCCTACTGCACTGGACCTGCTACACGCCCAGACTGTGTCCCAGACGGCGGTGTCCTCACCACAAGGTGAGCCAGGCCTCAGAGCCCTCCCTAGGGCCCCTCTTGCATGCTGCTCAGGCTGTATGGGTCATGCTCCTGAGGGCACCTCAGGATGTCCTCAGGGTTAACCTGGACCTTGCTTCACCCCGATAGTCTGCCAAGAGCAAGTCCTGGTGGGGGTTTTCCTGTCACATTCTGCTAGCCAGGGCTTTGATAACGTCGGCAGCTATGGCAGAAGTGACACTGCTCACAGAAATTTCTTAGATTATGAGGACATTGTCTCGGCTTCTAGGACTGCTGAGATGCAGTGTCTGGTCATGGCTTTGGACTATAGGAGCTATGTTGAGTATTCTGTTTAAAAAAGTTGGAAAAGTTCCATAGGACAATCTGGAATTCCCTGGGAGGGCATGCAGTCAGTATTGACACGTGAATGTTGCTGTCTCCCACAGATGCATACAAGTCACCTCACAGCCCATTTTATCAGCTACCTCCCAGTGTGCAGCGGCACCCCCCTGACCAGCTATTGCTGGCACCCACCCCACCTGCACTGCAGAAGCTGCTAGGTGAGCCAGCACCCAAATGCTGTGGGTTCATGTGTGGATTCCAACTTAACAGCTCTATGAGGAAGGGCTCCAAGGTTCGGCATCTCTGGCGAGCCCCCTGGGATACCTGCAGCAGGCGGACCACACTAGAGTCCCGCGGGCTCAGGGTCAACCCTGCCAGGTGGCACCCAGGCTTTCAGGCCAGCAAGGCTTGTGTGGTTGTCTTAGGCTGAGGTTCTTTTCTTCAGGGGATACTGGGCCATGTCTGGGGACATCTGTGGTTGTCACACTGGGGGTACTTCTGTTTGGGTGGGGGGTAGGGATGCTGCTCAGTCCTCCGCAGTGTTCAGGGCAGCTCCACAGAGGGTAACCCAGCCCAAGTGTTTATTAGAGTACGGGAAGGGCCTCTCAGGGGTGAGATGGGGCTGTGAGGGAGCAGGTCCTGTCTGAGCTGAGCACCTGCTCGTCTTGTAGGGCTCAACCAAGAGGCCTCTCATCTCTTTAAAAACTGGATGAAGGAAATCCCTTCAAATATGGGAGCCATCAGTTTCCCCAGTTCGACGTCAACAGCGTGTGTTTACTGGGAAAATTGGCAGACTTGGGGAGAAAGAAAATGTTGGTGGTGATGGCAGGAGCTGCAAAGGGCTCAAGGGGGGCACTAGCCCTAGGTGCAGGGAGGGTGGGAGTGATGACGAGGCAGCATGGGGACCAAAGGTACCAGCAGAGTGACAAGTGATATTCAACAGCATCTGATGACAGGGCTGGGGGAGCTCCCAGATAAATACGAGTGTCCCCACCCCAACCACCACTACCACCACCACTGTAGCCTTCAGCCTCAGCCAGGTGGCTTCTGCATTGAGACTTTGTCCCTGGCTCTCCTAGAGTCCTTCAAGATTCAGTACCTGCAGTTCCTGGCGTACACGAAGACCCCTCAGTACAAGGCCAGCCTGCAGCAGCTGCTGGACCAGGAGAAGGTGAGGGGCGTCTGCTTCTATGTTCCCAGTGCTCTGTGGAGGAGTGAGCCGAGCAAGCCTCCAGCCTGCTGGCCTCTGACAGCCCCGGCCCACCCAGAACATGCCCTGCTTCCTGTTACATCCCTTTGTCCCTGCTTAGAGGGTCTGCTGCTGCCCGCACAGAGAGGTGTCTGTCACCCCCAGTTAGTAACTCAAATAGCCACTGAATTGCTGCTACCTTCTAATAAAGTCCCAGAAGGACGACCAGCCAGTGTCCCCAATGTATGCATGCATTGCCATATCTGAACATAGAGAGGTGGTAGCTCTTGCACTTCATGGAACAGACAGTGCTCTTCATCAGTGAGATGGGCTGAGATATGTCACATCAGCGCGTCTCCTTTGAGCCTGTTTAAGGGAAGGGATGGTGTGGGTTGGCCTCACATTCACCAGCTCTCTGTCCCCTGCAGGAGAAGAATGCCCGGTTACTGGGTGCCGCACGGCAGCTGTTCGGTCACTGCCAGGCCCAGAAAGAAGAAATAAAGAGGCTCTTCCAGCAGAAACTGGATGAGGTAGAGCCATCCAAGGCCAAGATGACCCAAGTACAGGATTGGGGGGGTGGGCGTGGCCTGGGGCAGCTGAGGTACGGAGAGACTGTTTTATTTCTGGTGATTTTTCTGGTAGTATAAGACTTTGGCTTTCTAGTCAAAGAGCTGCTTCTAGTCCAGCCCCTCACGGAGCCTGCACAGGCTTATGTCCTGAGGTCATCCTCTTGTTCCCCTATCTGAGGGACTATACCTTATCTCTTTGTCTGTGACCGGCACTGTGCCACCCTGGTCTTGTCTGGGTATAAGCCAGCCCCCTCTCCTTCTCACCATGGCTGCACCTCCCTGCAAGCCCAACCTTGCTGTTATGTGTCCACAGTTGGGAGTGAAGGCGCTGACCTACAGTGACCTGATCCAAGCACAGAAAGAGATCTCAGCTCACAACCAGCAGCTGCGAGAGCAGACAGAGCAGCTAGAGAAGGACAACAGGGAGCTGAGAAGCCAGAGCCTGCAGCTGGTATGTGTCCGGAGAGGGTGGCAGTTCCAGCACATTCCAGAGTGAGCAGAAGCCTTAGACCCCAGACCAGGCAGAGGGGCCGGTGTCCATCCGTTGATGGGCCTGGAGGCCCATGTCCCGATACACATCTCGAGACAGAGATGACCCGAGGGTGCTTGCTGGGCCCAGTATGTCCTCCCGAGGATGAGTTTCCCATGAACCCCTTAATCTGCAATGGGAAGACCAGGGCCCCTCCCCATCTCTGTCCTGGTTCACTGTTGGAATGCTGGCGCAGCTTTACCTGGCTCTCAGAGCACATGAGTGCAAGCAGGGCCTGGAGCCAGAACATGGCTTCTTAAATTCCTTCCTGTCTGGGTGTCCTGAAGGCTCATGATTTCACTAGATGGGCCTTTTTTTTTAAATCTTCACCCAAGGATACTGATTTTTAGAGAGAGAGAGAAACATCAATATAAGAGAAAAACATTGATCAGTTGCCTCCTGTACACACCCTGACCAGGATTCAAACCTGCCACCTTTCAGTATATGGGACAGTGCTCCAGCCAATTGAACCACACCTGCCAGGGCCTAGACAGGCCTTTTGATGAAGCCTAGACTTTTCTAGTCCTCACTCTTGGGGCCTCCCCTGGGCACTTCGCACTGGACATACAGGGACCTCCCTTCTTGTGGGGACCCTGGTCTCCTTGGGCACTTTGCACCCTGGCCTTCCAGAAGCAGGAAGGAGAGAGGTACTGGCTCCCAGGGACATCTGCCTAGATGCCTACCCTGTCTACCCCCAGAGCCCAGTGTTGGGGCAGAAGCAGGTCTGGGGGCCCATCCCATTCTCCCTACAGCCATGTACATGCTCATGGCCGCAACTGCCCTCTTCCCACAGCTGAAGGCTCGGTGTGAGGAATTGAAGTTGGACTGGTCTACACTGTCCCTGGAGAACCTGCTGAAGGAGAAGCAGGCCCTGAAGAGCCAAATCTCCGAGAAACAGAGGCACTGCCTGGAGCTTCAGGTAAGGGGCCAAGGTATGGAGGGAGGGATTGGCTGGTGTTAGGAACATGGTTAGTACCATTGGCAGACCCACCAAAGCCATCCTCCTCCTGAGGACAGGGTACTAGTTCTGGTGTCACTTTAATAACAGCCTAAAGTCCCATCATCAGCCCTAGAGAAGAACAAGGAATAGGGCAGGTGGGTGCCCCACTCTACCCCAGGGCATCACGTCTGATTCCAGACCTAAAGGGTACCTGAGCACCTCCTGGTGAAGCATTTCTGACACAGTAACTAAACAGACCTGTGTTTGTGTATTAAAACAAAATAGCATGTACTTTTTCTGATGAGGTAACTTGTTCATCAAGGACAGCTAGAAAAAAGTGTGGGGAAGGAGAAAGCATAATATAGGGGCCATGGCTGAGTTCCCGAGTACAGAACTTACAAGTAACAATGAGGAAAGTAAAGGGAGACGTTTAGCGTGAGCATTGGTCATTACAAAAGCTCCATGTGTATGGACTGCAGCCTCTATTGCATCTACTCAGTCCAGCTTCATAACATGTAGAGCATTGCCGGCTGCCAGACCCTTGGGGCTCTTTCAAGTAGTTGATTATTATAAAATAGAACTGCAGTAAATTTCTCTGCACCATGATTCGTTTTAAGGATATTTCCTTAAAGACATAGTCCCAAAGTAGACCTATGAGAAGTTTAAGGTCCTGTGATACATGGCCCAAGTGTCTCTTGCCCACCAAGCCAGCAGTGTGTGTCATAGAAAGAGGTTTTCTGACTGCTACCAAAGCCAGGCTTTGTTTCCAAGGATGTGCCTGCAAGAGAAGTCTCTCTGAGTTCGGTTCCCTCCAAGGGCTTATACCTCGGTTGCAGTTTGTCCCCGGCCCTGGTTGGGTCATGTGGGTAGCAGCCACTTGATGTGTCCCTTTCACATTGATGTTTCTCTCTCTCTCTCTCTCTCTCCCTCACTCTCCCTCCCACTCTATATGAACAAAAAAATGGAAAAAATGTCCTCGGGTGAGGATAAAAAAAAAGGGGTGGGGGGGTCTCCATAGGGAATATAATGGGTTTCTGGCCCTTCTGTGTAATAAAGAAATGACACATTTTCTCATAGAGGAAAAACAACAGTGTAAAAAAAAAATGCCCTGTATGTCCTGACCCCTGAAAGGAAACACTATTTCAGGGTTTTTCCCACTGTTGTATACTTGTGGTATTGCTGTGTCCTTTGTTCCTTGCTTTCCCGGGGACGTTGTTTCATGTCAGCAGATGTGTATCTGCAGAACTGCTCTTGACACTCACATACTGTCTTGTCTATCTACCCAGAGCACCCTGGCTGGATTTCATTGGTTAGCTGCTCTGGCCTCCCTGTCACGCACAAAGCCGGTCTGCCTCCTTGCAGTCACTCTGGGAGGACTTCCTTTTCATTCTCCGGGGATGGTCCCCTCCAGAGGGTTGCTGGGTGGGGCTGGGCTGGCCTCTGTTCGAGGCCTTCGACAGATGTGCAGGAGCCTCACCTCCAGCAAGCTGTGGGTCTGACACACTTGGTCTTCCAGATCAGCATTGTGGAGCTGGAAAAGAGCCAGCGGCAGCAGGAGCTCCTGCAGCTCAAGTCATGCGTGCCACCTGATGAGACCGTGTCCCTGCATCTGCGAGGGAAAGGTGGCCTGGCCCGGGAACTGGAGGCAGAGCCCAGCCGGCTGCATCTCGAGCTGGACTGCTCCAAGTTCTCACTGCCCCACTTCAGTAACATGAGCCCAGAGCTCTCCATGAATGGCCACGCAGCTGGCTATGAGCTCTGCAACACGCTGAGCCGGCCCTCGTCCAAGCAGAACACCCCCCAGTACCTGGCCTCCCCACTAGACCAGGAGGTTGTGCCATGTACCCCCAGCCACAGCAGCCGGCCCCGGCTTGAGAAGCTGTCTGGCTTGACCTTGCCAGACTACACCAGGCTCTCCCCGGCCAAGCTGGTGCTGAGACGCCACCTGAGCCAGGACCACACAGTCAGTGGCAAGATATCTGCTGGCGAGCTGCACCCAAGGTGAGTCTGGGTCAGCAGGTTTGCCCCTAGTGCCCTTGGGCTGTTGTGGGGTCTTGAGAGGGGTTGTTAATCAGTTTGGAAGGGTTTGCTAGGCCCAAGCTGTCAGCTCTGAATACAGAGCCACTGCCCCAGGGTCTCCCCAGAGAGTGACCAAAGTATGCGTCTCATTCCAGAGCTGAGCACGCCAAGGAGAATGGCCTTCCATACCAGAGCCCGGGCCTTGCCAATGGCATCAAGCTGAGCCCTCAGGATCCACGGCCCTCATCCCCTGTGGTTTTACAGATGACAGGAGAAAAAAGCAGTGAGAAGGTACAGGTAATTACCAGGAGGGAGGGGCCCTTGGATTAAGGGTCTTGTCACCTACACCAGAGGCAGGGCTGTGGGAGGCAATCATTAGGTATCCTTAGTGGGTCTATTAGGAGAGAGTGTCCAGGTGAGGGCTATGAAACCAGGAGAATGTGAGGCAGAGGGTGGAGGGCTAGTGCTTCGTCAGTCAGGTCCCTACCCTAAGCATCCTCAGGGACAAGACTTGGAAAGTGGCCAGATAGTAGAGCCCCCTTAGGGAGGCATTGCCTGTGGAAACAGGAAGGAGAAGGCAGCTCTGTCTCTGTTCAGGTGGCAAGTTTGAGAAACATTGGAAGGTCAAAGTGTGAGGACCTGGTGATTGGTGGCCATTGGGATGAAGGGTGGGGGCCTGGAAGGTCAGAAGAAGCGGTTGGAGTTGGAGGAGTAGGTGTTAGTGGGATGAAGGGACTGTCTGCTACAGAGGTCCCTTGTTTGTGGCTGGAGGGTCGGTGGCCATGGGTTCATTGGTCAGCAACTGCAGGCAGTCTGTTGTATCTCCAGGGTCTGAAGGAGCGTGCCTACGCCAGCAGTGGGGAGGCTATCACCAGCCTACCCGTCAGCATCCCGCTCAGCACTGTGCAGCCCAGCAAGCTTCCTGTTAGCATCCCTCTGGCCAGCGTGGTGTTGCCCAACCGTGCTGAGAAGGTGGTGAGTGGGCACGACGGGGTGGGGTGGGGGTGGGGGTGGGGGCAGTGCAGTGCTGTGCTGCTTCGAGAGTGTCAACACAGGCAGAGGGGACTTTCATCTAGTGTTTGCCCCACAAGACTTGGTTCCTTCTTGTTAAATTGCATGCTGTTAAAGTTCAAGAAAAATAGCGTTCAAAATCCAAGTTTAATTGCATTAACATCTTGACTTTTTTATCTCAGATCCTTTATTGTAAACAGTGCTACGTGCAGGTGGAGAGGAAATAGAACTGCCCAATGTGGTAGAAGCTTGAAGTCCATCCCCTTCTTTCAGTCTATACTTGTGTTCTTCTGCCTCACTCTTGTGGACTCTTGAGTACAAAACCTTATATAATGCAGACTTTTTTTTTTTTAGTTATAATCCACATAAAATTCACCATCTCAAGTGTGCATTTCAGTGACATTTAGTATGTTCACAGGGTTGTGCAATTATCACCTCTATATAGTTCCAGAATGTTTTATCACTCCAAAAGGAAGTCCCATACACATCTATAGTCCATTCAGCCCCCACCTCCACCCCATCTCTGACAACCACAAACCTACTTCCTGTCTCCCTGTTCTGGACATTTCACATAAATGGAATCACACACTGTGTGGCTTTTTGTGTCTGGCTTCTCTCACTGAACATCATGTGTTCAAGGCCCATCCATGTTGTAACAAATGTCAATGCTTCACTCCTTTCCTGGCTGAGTAATATTTCCATGTGTGGGTGAACATGTTTGTGTATGGTTTCATCTATCAATGGACATTATTTGTTTTCACTTTTTGGCTACTGTGAGCATGTGTGGACAGGTTTCGTGTGGATGATGTTTTCATCTTGTTTCATATAGGAGAGAAATTGCTGGGTCAGATTATAACTGCAGCTGCAGGCCTAACTGCTCTCCCTGTATCCTTCATCCCCACCCTGATTCCATTATTCAGAGCGATACTTTAGGATCCAAGTCAGACATCTGTCCCTTCCCTTCTGGTAGCTGCCCACTGTGCTCATACCCTGAGCAGGTCACTTTTCCTTCTTCAAGCTGCTGCTTACACACCTGCTGTTCTTCCTACTTCAGGCCATCAGCATGTCCTGTGGCCCTTGACTCCCTCCTTGACATTCACATACCGGGCCCAGCTCAGCTGACAGTGTGCATTCTCTCCACAGAGAAGCACCCCCAGCCCTGTGCCTCAGACCCGAGAGTCCTCGTCCACACTTGAAAAGCAGATGGGTGCTAATGCCCATGGTGCTGGGAGCAACGCTGCTGGGAGCAAAAGCCTCACTTTGGCGCCCACAGGTGAGGGTGCTCCTTCTGTTCCTGATCTGTTTCCAGAGGTCAGCTTTCACCTGTGCCCCCTGCCACCTCCCTAGGGGCTGTGCTGGGGACATGAGGTGTGAACACAGTGTCCATAATGAGGCCCCAGAGATGCTGGGCTCGGAGCCTAACTCCTCCTAGCCATGGAGTCTGTGCTGAGTCAGGACTGTTGTCCCCCTTAGCAGTAGCAGTAGCAGCAGCAGCAGCAGCAGCAGCAGCACAGCAAGCCCTAAGCCCTGGGGGTCGGGCTCTAGGTTGGGCCCTCAGTGCATTACCTGAACCTCAAGCTGGCATCCTGATGTGGGCATGCTTGGTCTCTCTGTATTAGAGCCTGGGTAGCATGGTGGCATTGTCCTTGTCAAACCACTATGGGGTCCCGGGCTGCCCAGTTTCTAGCTGGATTCTGGTCTCCTTCAGAGAGCTTTGATTTTTGACATACCTGTGTATTAACACAGGGCTGGGGGGGTGGGTTGTGGCTCTGTAGCCAAGAGGGTCTCTGTCACAGCTGTTCAACTCGAGTGTTATAGTCCATGGACAGGTGGTGGGCATGTGCCAGTAAAACTGCTATAGCAACAGTTGGCAGCCAAACTGCCAGACTTATGGACCCCGCTGCAGTTTGCTGACCTGTGTGAACACATGACCTGTTTGGAAATTATATTTCCAGACCTAAAGAATAAAATGCGGCCCTGGCTGGGTAGCTCAGTTGGTTAGATTGTTCTCTCCATACACCAAGGTTGTGGGTTTGATCCCTGGTCAGGGCACATACAGGAATCAGTATATTGCCCTGGCCAATTTGACCCAGCGGTTAGAGCGTCAGCCTACCAACCAATGAGTCATGGGTTCGATTCTGGTCAAGGGCACATACCTCGGTTGCAGTTCGTCCCCAGCCTTGGTCGGGGTCATGCGGGAGGCAACCAGTCGATGTGCCTCTCTCACAGCAATGTCTCTCTCTCTCCCTCCCTCCCTCCCTCCCTCCCTCCCTCCCTCTCTATCTGAAGATAAATAGAAAAATATCCTTGGGTAAGGATTAAAAAAAAGGGGGGAGGAATAGTATATCTCACTCCCTTCCTCATTCTCTAAAATCAATTTTTAAGAAATTAAATTAAAAAAAGAAAGAATATGCCTGGTTGGTGTGGCTCAGTAGATTGAGCGTCACCCCATGAACTGAGAGGTCCTGGTTCAGTTCCCAGTCAGGGCACATACCAGGGTTTCCGGCTTGATCCCCAGTAGGGGGTGTGCAGGAGGCAGCCAATTGATGTTTCTCTCTCTCTCTAAAAAAAAATCAATAAAAACACATTTAAAAGACTGAAGTGCAGAGGCCACTACTGAGACCAGTCCTTCCTCAAGTTCTTTGATCCCACTACTCCAGTGCGAGGGTTACTTTGCAGCTGGCAGCATGATGTGCTCTGGTCAAGGGACAAATTCTGTCTCCGTTGGATGTCACAAGGGTTTTTGAGCCCCTATGAGAGGTCCCAAGAGAGGGCCCAGGGTGGGGAGTTGTACACAGGCTCTAGGGCCTCAAGTGATGCCACATCCAAACGTGGGAAGAAGCTCACCACTCCTGAGCACTCTCACCTGTGTCTGCGCCTGTGGCAGCGCCTGTGCCAGCTCAAGGGTGCCTGCCTGGTCTTTTAGTGCCATCTATGGTCAACCATTACATGGAAGGTGCTTCTAGGGGGCTGAGTGTCCTTACCAGCTTTACCTGGGGCAGTGCTGTCCTCTCCTGGGATGGGCTTCCCTGAGAAACTGTGTCTCTTCCCAGCAGGCTTCTCCTACGCTGGCTCAGTGGCCATCAGCGGGGCCCTGGCAGGCAGCCCAGCCCCACTTGCTCCTGGAGTTGAGCCCCCTGCCTTCGATGAGTCCTCCAGCTCGGGGAGCCACTTCACCACCGTGGGTTCCCGAAGCTCTACCCCGCAACACCCTCAACTGCTGGGGCAGCCCTGGAACTCTGGTCCTGCCTCACCCGCTCACCAGCTCTGTGTCAGCCCCCGGCTCAGCACTGCCCAGGGCCCACTCCCTGATGCCAGCAAAGGGGACCTTCCCTCTGAGGCTGGCTTCTCCGATCCAGAGAGCGAGGCCAAGAGAAGGATCATCTTCACCATCTCAGCTGGTGCTGGCAGTGCCAAGCAGTCACCTTCCAACAAGCACAGCCCTCTGCCCGGGGGTGTCCGCGGAGACAGCAGTCAGAGCCACGGGCAAGACAGCCGAAAGCGGGGCAGGAGGAAGCGGGCATCTGCAGGGACCCCTAGCCTAAGCTCTGGCGTGTCACCCAAGCGCCGGGCCTTGCCATCTGTCGCCGGCCTCTTCACTCAGTCTTCAGGGTCTCCGCTCAACCTGAACTCCATGGTGAGGCCATGGGGCAGGGGGTGATAGGGCCACCCAGTGCAGTTAAGCAGGCATCTGGATTCTGGGTTTCTTGTTCCCAAGGCTGACCAAGATGGGCTGTAAGGGGGCAGCTGGCAGGCTTTGCAATTCCCCAGCATTCCACACTTCGAGGTAGCTTAGGCAGGAGGGATTGGAGCAAAGCCATTGGGGTTGGTGCTGTGGAGCCCACTGACAGAGTTGTGCTGTGTCTGTGCTGATCCCTCAGGTCAACAACATTAACCAGCCTTTGGAAATCACAGCCATCTCGTCCCCTGAGAGCTCCCTGAAGAGCTCCCCTGTACCTTACCAGGACAATGACCAGCCACCCATACTCAAGAAAGAGAAGCCTCTGAGCCAGACCAATGGGGCCCACTACTCCCCGCTGACCTCAGATGAGGAGCCAGGTTCTGAGGACGAGCAAGGCAGCGCCAGGTGAGATGCAGGGCTGGGAAGGTGGGCACTCCATCCTTGGGAGAGGCATCCACCAGTAAGGTTCTGAAGGACAGGCCCTTGTGGTCATACGTGACCTCCTGGAGACAGGCAGCTTCTTCCTGCCATTAGTTGGGGGGTGCAAAGGGCCTTGAAAATCACTCCCCATATACTCCTCTTCCCTCTGCCCCTGGCACCTGCCGTCTGCTTTCTGTCTCTAGGAATCTGACTTTACTAGGAATCTCATATGTCGCTGAGTGTAATGTCCTCAAGGTTCATTCATGTTGTAGCAGGTGTCAGACGGTCTTTTATTATTATTTTTTTTTATCCTCACCCGAGGACATTTTTCCATTTTTTGTTCAGACAGAGCAGGAGGAAGAGAGAGAGAGAAACATCAATGTGAAAGGGACACATTGAGTGGCTGCCACCCGCATGACCCAACCAGGGCCGGGGACAAACTGCAACCGTGGTACGTGCCCTTAGCGGGAACCGAACCCGGGCCTCTCTGGACCGCAGGCCGACGCTCCAACCACTGAGTCAAACCGGCCAGGGCCTGTCTTTCATTTTTAGGCTGAATAATAATTCCAGTGTGGATGGACCATGTTTTGTCTGTCTATTTACCTGTCTATGGGCACTGGGGTTGCTTCCAATTTTTAGCTGTTGTGAATGGTGCTGCTGTGAACTGTCATATACATGTTTTTTGTTTGGCTCAATTTATCTCCTATGCTGGGTCACATGGTCATTCTGTGTTTAATTTTGTTTTTTTCTTCAGATAGAGTGGGGGGGGGGAGAAAGAGAGAAACATAATGTGAGAGAGACACATCGACTGGTTGGTTGCCTCCCGCATGACTCCGACCAGGACCAGGGACCAAACCGCAACTGAGGTATGCGCCCTCGATTGAATCGAACCCACAACTCTTTGGACTGTGGGCCTACACTCTCAACTGCTGAGCCAAACTGGCCAGGGCAATGTTTAATTTTTTGAGGAACCACCATCTTGTTTTCTTTCCATAGTGGCTGCTCCACTGTACGTTTCCACCAGCTGTGCACTTGGGTTACAATTCCCCCTCATCCTCACCAGCACTTGTCTGATTTTGTTCTTAATATAAATTCCATTCTTATGGTTGTGAAGTAGTAATGATGATCACTGATTTTCGTCTCCCTGACAACTAGTGATGTTGAGCATCTTCTCCCATGCTGATTGGCTGTCTGTGTGAGTCTATCCAGGGTCCTTGACTCTCCCTTTAATTGGGTGTCCTTTGTTGTTATTGAGTTATGAGAGTTTTGTTCTAGACACATGATTCCTTATCAGATACATGGTGTAACAGTGTGTCCTCTCTCTGCCTGGGTTGTCTTTCAACTTTTCTTGCTGGTGTTTTTTGAAGTATGAAAGAGTTAAATTTTGACAAAGTCCTATTTATCTGTTTTTTTTTTGTTGCCTGTTCTTTTGGTGTCTCACCAAAGTTATTTTATTTTGTTCCTCTTCCATATACATATGTAATATCCTCAAAAGTTGCACTTGGGCCCGGCTGGTATGGCTCAGTGGTTGAGTATCAACCCATGCACCAAGAGGTCGCTGGTTCGATTTCCAGCCAGGGCGTGTGCCGAGGTTATGGGCCAAATCCCGTGTGTGGCATGCAGGAGGCAGCCACTCGATATTCGTGTTTCCATCTCTTTCTCTCTCCCTTTATCTCTCTCTCAAATCAATAAAGAAAAAAAAAAGCTTTAAAAAAAGTTGCACTGGGGTCCTCTTCTTTTGTCTCAGGCACATCCAACTTACCAGTTTCCAGATTCATTCGGAAGTTCTATCTCTGGAGGTCATAGTGTCCTTGGGGACAGATCATAATTCTCAGACACAGAATGCACACCATTTATAATTTGGTGCTGCTATGAATTCCAACTTGCTACAATGTACTATGTCCTATGTGTCACATGCACAACATATTATAGTTGACATGCTACATCATAGCAAACACCGGGATTTTTTTTTTTTATCCTCACCCAAGGACATTTTTTCTTTTTCTTTTTTGTTCAGATACAGTGGGAGGGAGAGAGGAAGAGAGAGAGAGAAACATCGATGTGAAAGGTACACATCGAGTGGCTGCCACCCACACGACCCAACCAAGGTTGGGGACAAACTGTAACCAAGATGTGTGCCCTTAGCGGGAACCAAACCCGGGTCTCTCTGGACTGCAGGCCGACGCTCTAACCACGGAGCCAAACCGGCCAGGACCAAACACCGGGATTTTAAACAGAGCTTAAGAGATGGTTCTGTCTGAGACATGTATGTCTCTCTGTATATGGGTAAATGGAGTCCCTGTTCCTCTATAGCATATGAGCCCTCAGTTAATTGGCCACAGCATGAGCGTGACAGCCATGGGTCCTTCTTGAAGGAGATTTGAGGGTGGACAGGCTGTTTGTTTACTGCTGCCCAACTTTTCTGGGCAATTCAGTGTATACACACAGCTCTTAGTGTGCACAGGGATTTCATACAGTCTTTTTTTTTTTCTTGATAGAATTGAGAGAAAAATTGCAACTATCTCCTTAGAAAGCAAATCTCCTCCAAAAACCTTGGAAAACGGTGAGTAACAGTGCTCCATTGCATGAGTCCCCAGTACTAGGTGGCATGCCCTATCTTTTTTACACAGGCATTCCTGAGCACAGTGGTGCTGGGAAGGTCATTTCCACCACAGGCCAGGCTCGCTGCTGCCAGGTGCCATGTCCTCACTTGCCTGGGCAGCAGACCTATTTCCTTCCTGGTGAAATGGGCCACAGTCTGATTTGTTTTGACTTGCCCACTCACCTGCCCTACCCCAGGAGCCCTTCTTTCGTCTTTACCTTCTCCTGTAGTTCCACCCCAACCACACACAGGGCAACCTTTTCTGGGTGGAAGGGCATCCATCATTCTGAGCTAAGGTGGTCTGAGCCCATGCAGCTCCCTCTCACATCCCCTCGGAAACCTTGTACCCCACTTGGCCCCTTGGAGGCACCCAGGCCTTAGCCCCTGCCTCTCCTCATCAGGTGGTAGCCTGGTAGGAAGGAAGCCGATGCCCTCCAGCGAGCCCATCAACAGCAGCAAGTGGAAGTCCACCTTCTCGCCCATTGCCGACCTCAGCCTGGCCAAGGCTGCTGACAGCCCACTACAGGCCAGCTCCACTCTGAGCCAGAACTCCCTGTTCACTTTCCGGCCCGCCCTAGAGGAGCTCGGCTCAGTTGATGCCAAGCTGGCTACTCACCCCAGGAAGAGCTTTCCGGGTGCACTGTCGGGGGCCGGCGGGGTGAGCCCCATCAGCAACCCTCCCAATGGCTTTGCCTTCAGCGGGAGCCTGGCTGCCGACCTCAGTTTACACAGTTTCAGTGATGGTGCTTCTCTCTCTCACAAGGCCCCTGAAGTGGCCAGCCTGGGTGCCCCCCTGAGCTTTTCTGCCCCAAGGGGTAAGGAGGGCAGCGTGGAACCCAGCCCCTTTGTGAACAAGAGGCAGCTGGATGGACTGGGTGGCCTGAAGGGCGAGGGAGTCAAGGGCAGGGAAGCAGAGGTTAGCCTGCCCGTGTGCACGCCCTCAGACAAGGCCTCGTCGCATGGCAAGGGGGGCAAGGGCCGGGACCGCGAGCCTGACTTCAAAAACGGCCACAATCTCTTCATTTCTGCTGCTGCTGTGCCTCCTGGGGGCCTCCTCAGCGGTCCAGGCCTCACCACAGCAGCATCCTCGGCAAGCGGCACAGCCCCTTCCTCCCAGACACACCGGCCCTTCCTGGGTACTTTCGCACCTGGCCCACAGTTCACCTTGGGCCCCATGTCCCTGCAGGCCAACTTAGGCCCGTCTGTGCTGCAATCCTTGTTCAACTCTGTGCCAGCTGCCGCTGGCCTAGTGCATGTCTCATCCGCCGCAACCAGACTGACCAACTCACACGCCATGGGCAGCTTTTCCTCCGGTGTGGCAGGTGGCGCAGTTGGAGGTAGGCAGAAGTGCGTCTCTCCTGTCTGACTCTCAGGTCCCAAGGGATCTGCTCTGGGGTCTGAGATGCCAAGACGTCACAGAAGCCTCCTGGACCACTGGGTTTAATTACAACTACTTTACAGGTTTCCTTCCAGAGCCCCTAAGGGGTGAGAGACTGCCCGCGTGTCCCTTTGTGTCCACTTTGCACCCGCCATCTCATTTCTTTTCATGAAACGCAGATATGACTTACATGGGCAGAGCACTCACACGTGAGTTGGCCTGTCAGGCTTTCCAGTTGTGACAGTGTCTCTTGTACCTTCAGGAGAGCTGGCGCCGTGATGAGCTTTCCTGCCTCCCTGTGGAGGTCACCATCAGACATGACACAGCCCATGGGCTCTGGGCGACCTTGGGGACTGGCACTGCAAGAGTGTGGCCACAGTGCCTACTGCACTGAGGCTCAGTGTAGGGTGTAGTGGAGCCATGGGTCTATGCCCTTTGTGGTCCCAGTCCTCCAAAGATGGCTCCTTGCTGGGCACAGGTGAGCGAGATGCTCACAGCTGGGAGCCCAGGAGGGCTTGCTGTGGGGGGTGTGGCCTGGGGCCAGCCTGCAGGTAAGTCACCTGGCCACCTGCACTCCTGCTGCTTTGTCCCTGCACCTGCGTGCACTCAGAGCTGCGGCTGCTGTCTGCTTCCCCTTTTTTTTGCGTGTGTCTCTTCGCTTGCCTGGAGAATGCCCGCCTGTTGAAGCTGAGTTTTTCTCTCCTGTTTGCAGGTGTCTTTAACCACACGGTGCCTTCCGCCTCCACTCATCCGCTTGGAGCCAGTTTCAGCAGCGGGGCTGCTTGTCGCAGCACCACGCTGAGCTTAACCCCGATGCAGGCGGTGGCTGGTACCCCCGCCTCTTCCTTTCAGGCCCTGTCCTCTGTGGAGACGAGGCAGCCCCCACCCCAGCCTCCTCTGCCCCTGGGTCGGCCCCCTGCGGGGCCGCCAGCACTTCATGCGCCCCCCCCTCCTAACGCTGCCTTGCCTCCTGCTCCCGCACTACTCCCTGCTAACTCTGAGCCCGTGCTCCTGCAGAATCTTGCGCCCCTCCCGGCTAACCAAACTTTCTTACCTGCCGCCTCTGCTGCCTCTCTGCCTTCTGCTAACGCCTCTCTGTCCATCAAGCTCGCCTCCCTCCCACACAAGGTCTCCCGTCCCTCCTTCATGGTACACCACCAGCCCCTGCCTGGGCTGGCCCTGGCCCAGGCCTCACCCATGATCCCGCAGGCCAGCTCCACAGGGCCGTCCGCCGTGTGGGTTTCCCTTGGCATGCCGCCTCCTTATGCCGCGCGCCTTGCGGGGGTTAAGCCGCGATAAAGACCTTGGTTAGCTAGCCGTTCTGTTCTGTAAGGTAAGGCTAGAGCCCAACCAGATGGCCCGTACAAGAAACTCACCTGTCCTTCCTTCCACAGAGTGGATGGGCCCACAGGGCTCTGCAAAGGGGCCTGGGACCATCGGTTCTGAGAGGTGCCAAGGAAAAATAAGCATAGGGCAGGAAGGGAGACTGGGGGAGCCATGCATATTGGCCTCTGGAGGCACTACAGAGCTCGAGAGGGTATTGGCCAGTCCTTGGGGCCCACCGTACTTTCCTACCAGGACCCATAGTGCTCCAGCCCAAGGAGACAGCAGATTAAGGAGGCTCTGCAGACTGAGCAGGAAGGGTACTGCATTAAGTCCTGCACAGAGGGGGACCAATAGGAGATGGATGAGGCCAGGGGCCTGGCCTGTGCAACCCAGCTCCATCTTGCTGCCATTCTCTGGCTGTATGTCTACAGTGGCCAGGGACCCAGGCAGCCCCAGTGTGGGACTGTGGGGGCAGCTCTGAATCTCAGCGTTAGCTATTTGCCCACTCTTGGCTTCTCTCAGCCTGTTTCATTTGATGTATCTCATGGTTATAGGGAAACTTTATGCACTTGAGGCCCCTGGTACTTATCAGGCCTTCATAAAGACAGTGGTTGTGCATTGAGTTACTTAGCTAGCCTGCAGGCCCTAACCCACATGCACCAGAAGCCAATGGATAATGGGGTGAGCATGGCGCAACCACAGGAAGGGCTCTCTGGGCAAGTGGTCGGTGCTCCTCCAGCCTCCAAGGAATTGGGCCCATGCATTTTGGATGTCAGTGTGGAGTCAGAAGAGAACAGTGTAGGAAGGGCCTGACTTTAGAAATGGGGTGAGGAAAGTGGCTGTGAGGCCTTCAGGAGTGCTGTCTGCTCCTTTGCTGGCTGTGAGGGTGTTAGACAGCTGGGCCCCTGGATTAGCTGACCCGACCACTGCCGGTGGGGCAAAGGGCCTTCCTGGACAAGTCCACAGCCTATGGGGTGAGTACTCCAGGAACAAGCTGGGTGCTAACTGGGTACTGGGGGCCAGATGTGAATCTGCCTGCTGTCCTTGGTCATCTGTATGTGTTTAAGTGGAAACAGACATGAGGCTTTAGGTGTCTAGTGGCTCAGGTTTGGGGATGAACTGTGCCTCAGTCATGGTGGAAAAGTCTGGAAGGTAGAGTGGCTCCATCTCACAGTGGCCTCATGCTGTCAAAGAAGGCACTGTGGCTAGGACTGGCTTGAAGAGGTCACAGGTGTATAAGTGGAAGCTTCTGTGTCAGGCTCCCTGTCTTGACCCACAGTGGACATCTGCCTTCTATCATATCCCGGGCCCATCACAGGTGGCCTCCCTAGGCTGGACAGTGATGATCTCACTTCTGGGGCATGCAGGCCTGTCAGTGGGGCTGCCCGCAGGCGCGCCTCCCCTCCCCACCTCCCACCCATGAGCTGGCATGTGGTGACCAGGGAGGGTCTTGGTTCCAAGGCTCCCAGGGAGGTGGGGAGGCCGGGACCCAGTGCCCCATGAACGGCCTTGGGATGGTGACCTCCCACTTCTGATTGGGCCAGGGTCGTGGCAGGGTGGTGTTTACAACTAAGTTTCTTTCATCTGTCTGTCTATAGGCTTTGGTTCCCAGCCTGGGGATGTGTGGGCTTCTCCAAATGAGATGCTAATGCTATGCTGCCTTTTCCTCTTGCGCCGGTCTCTACAGGTAACTAGGATTCTACCTCAACCTCGAGACCTGTGCAAGGACAGGTGGGCTGCAGGGCTGGCGGATGACCAGATGGCTGGATGGACCGAGGACAAGGCTCTGCTCTGAGTCCATGCTGTGCAGACCTGCGGGAGATGCTGGGCCTGGCTCCAGCTTATACTGTCGATAGTTTTAGATAAAGTATTTATCGTTTTTTAAAAAATATAAACAATTTTGACTTATTCCACTGAAGTCATAAAGGCAACCTATTAAGAAATGTAAATACTATATAAGAGAGGATTTATATAAAGACATCGACCCGACGGACTGGCCCGCCAGTGGAGACGCCAACAGCCGGGCCCGGTGCTATCTCGTCGCCAGGCCTTGCCATCTCCATATTCTCTTGGTGCTGACTCGAGGTTGACCAACGCCAAAACCAGTCCTTGATGCGCCTGCCCTGTCATCCCCATGCTCTCCCATACCAAAGGCATGCCTATCTCCTGGTCAAGGGTGGTTCGCTTGGTTTCTAATGCCCCTCAGAAAAGGCCCTCTTCCCTCACCCCATCACTGTGAATGCTCCAGCCAGATTGTCAACCCTGGTCCCTGGGATGGCACCTTTGGCATAGGAAGGGCCAGTGGGCGGCCTCTGGATGTCGCATGGAGGAGGGCTACTGTGAGTGGTGCTCATGGGGCAGGTCTGGTACTTGACTCCAACGTGGGGCTGCTGGGGAGCAAGTGCTTTACTTTGTATGTCTGTACTGTCTTGGGCTCACGCAGTCCAGTGAGGCACTGGCCGGGCATGGGGCAGGTTAGCCATGGGTGCCTGGTGTGTCTGTATAGAAGAGTCACGCTGACAAGTGACAGTATTTTATAGAGATGTGATGAAAATTTATAAATTTCATAGACTTGACTTCATTTATTTTTAGATTGTATAAAGCACAGTAAACATAAAAAAAAAGTGAGGGGAAAAACCTTTTTATTTATTCAAAGTGCACACAAGTGGCGTTAGCCCAGGGCCAGAGTGCCCCATGTTCCCCTGGTCCATGGCCCTTCAGTCGCACAGCTGGGGTGACACTTGACCCCATGCTGGAGCAGCCTCTTTGGTGCTTGGGAATGAATGCACTGTGGGTGAGCTATGAGGGCAAAGGCCAGCTTCACAGGAAGGCAGGAGAGCTGTTCTGATGCTTCCAGAGGTTGACAATAGGGTTCTTGGATTCCTCTAGCACAGCAGTCTCTTAACAGTCCTGGGTCTCTCAGTTGAGCAGTGTGTGCGCATTATCCCTGAGAGGGCGTGTCCAGAAGCCCTCAGCCCTCTTGAAGGGCGATCAGCCACAGGTCCTGGCTGGAGATGGGGGCTCCAGGCCTGGGTGGGTTCAATTAGAGCTTTGGCTGTTCTGGTGCTTGTCCCCACAAGGTAGTATCTCCAAGAAACATGGGAACTCAAAAAAGCCTCAAGTTCCTGCCTTCCTCAGCCGGGCCCATCCCTCCAGATGTGGTTGCCAGGGGCCCTCTGCTGACCTTCCTTGGGGGCAGGCACTTTTCTTGTGGAACACAAGCCCAAAAGCATGCAGAACAGGTCTGGCTATTGACTCCCTCATTTCCTTGGGTGTGTCCTGGTGGAGCCCTGCTCCTACTTGACGGAAGGAGGGGGTGGGTAATGCCTAACCCAGAGCAATAGTTGAGACTGAAGATGGTGCTTAGACAGGTTCTTTTAACTGATTGTCATAATTATAACTGCTACCCTGGCTCCCTTATCTCCAGGTCTGTGCTCTTGGCACAAGAAGGTGCTGTGCCTACTCTGCATCCCACAATCCAGTTCTCCAGCACAGGGCAGCATCCCCTCCTTGTGCTGGGAGCACGGGGCTCCCTAAAAGAGTTGCAGGGCTAACAGTAGCCAAGTTGAGCATGTAGCAAGTCTCTGGTCTGGAATCAAGCAACCCTGTAAACCGTATTACTTTGTGATGACTGCCACCATGCAGGACTTCCTACTGACATGTCATATTTGCGTTCCCCACACAACCATGTCTGCCTGCCAGCCCTCCTGACCACGAGATTGATTGGCCACTGTTGGTAGTGAAGGCAGCAGCGGGGGTAGGTGGTGGTGGGGGTGTCATGAACAAAACCCTCCCACCCCCCACCCTCCTGTGGAGAACAGGTTCTAGTCTCTCTGGGGCAGAGACCACCGGTGCTGCTCTGACTGGGCAACTTCAGGGAAGCCCAGGGGTGTGAGGGTGCTTTGCTCAGGAAAACTTAACCGAAGACCCTCCCGGTCAGGAGCCAGCCTTCCCTTCCGGCTATGACTTGTGATTTATTTAAGACCCACTTGCCCCTTTATTTATCCACACCATCCGCAGGAAACTGTTCTTCCCCCCACCCATCCCCTGCCCCATTCCCATGGTCCATCCACAGTGGCTTGTGTCTTGTGTCTCAGACCAGCCTGCTTTGTTCTGGTAGACCATGTTTCAGTTGGGGGCACTGGAATGGCCCATCCCTTTGGGTTGCCGGCTTGACCCTCTTTCCCTAAGGGAACCCCACTGCACTCTAATTTCCATCTCTAGACTGTAATAAAATGTTTGTTTTCACTTGAACTTGGTCTGCTGGCATTTCTCCTTGGTTAGTACATGGTGAGACCTTAGAGAACGTTGAGGGCCCCATGTGGGGAGGATAATCACCCCCAGCAGAGGCCCTCATGTGCCCCTGAAAGCAGCTGCTGTGACTGTGGCAGACAGTGTCCACTTCAGGGAGGCCTAGACCCTCTAGGGCTTATATCTGACTAGGTCAGGCCTCTCTGCTCCTCCCCCACCCCTGCCAAGGACAGCACTTTTGATGAACTAAAACCAAACCTTTCCCAAGGTCCTGCCTGCACTCAAGGAGTCAGCCTGTAACTGGAGGTAAGGTCACAAGCCATCTGAGGATCCCATCACCCTACCTCACTCATTCTCCCTCAGGGCCCTTGAGCTAGGCTCCCAGCCTCCCTGCCTTTCTAGGCTCTGGGTTTTGGGTCTTCTTTCAATTTGGGTGCCCTAGCCCCTTCCTCCCAGGTACTTCAACCTTGCTTCTGGAAAGAACCTGTACCCTAGGATCCCCAATTCCCTCGGGAACCAGCTCTACCAGCCTGTGTAGGACACATATCCCTCTGCATTCACTGCACCACTGTCCTGTATGGAAAAGAGGTACCTTTATTTGAACAGAACAAGCACACCAGCCCAAGGGCAAATGCTTTCAGCTCTGCCCAGAGGTGTTGGCCAGACTCTGGCCCTCAGCAGAATTCACAGCATTCCAGAAGGTATGGCCCCCAAGCCCTTCACAGCATTACTGGCATCATACATTCAGCTTGCACAGGGCAAAAGAGCTGCACCAGCCGCAGGTGTCTGCCAGGCCCTAGATGGGGCCAGGCACAACTCCTGGGAGTGGACACATCCCCTAGCAGCAGCATGTGGCACCAAGAGGATCTGGATTAGTCTGATGAGTCCCAAGGCATAGCCTCTGCCCACCCTCACCAGCCTTAGGCTACTGAAGTCTTTAAGCCAAAACACCTCACTCCAAAAATCCAGGCTTGGCTAGGAAATCTAGAGCCCAATGAGGGTGAGGAGGGCTCCTTTGTGCCCCAGTGAGTCAAGCCAAGGAGCCCAAGTCCAATCCCAGATTCATGCCTTCAAACCACTCAGCTGGAACCGGGCCTCCTCTGATATGCCGAACTGTTCCAGTGGGTCCTGTGTGGTGGACAAGTGGCATGAGCCCAAGCCCTGGAGCCCATCCCCCATCCCGCCCTTCCCAGACCCCATGCACACCTTGCCGGTCATCTTCTGGATCTCGTTCCGATAGAAGATGAGGCTCCTGCGCATGAACTCGTAGCTGGGGAAGGAAATGGCCTGTGCTCACAAGGCCCGGCTCTGCCCCTACCCCAGGCCCCCAGACCAGCCTACACCCCACAGCCCACCTGGCTCGGCGAAGAGCTCCCATCCACTCCTGACACTGCTCCTCGCTGCAGCACTCAAAGTAATACTTCCTCTCTGGGTCCTCAATGAAGCCTGCAGAGGAAACAGCCCCATCTGTCCTTGTTCACTGCCACCATCACCTATGCTGGCCAAAGGCTTCTTGTTGCCACTGTCCACAACTGTCCCATCCTCCAGACCCAGCTTGGGCTCATCGCTTCCCACAGGCTGTGGATTGAATTGTATCCTCCAAAAGGGTATGTTCAAAATCTAGCTCCTGGAACCTGGGAATAGGGCCTATTTGGGTACCAGGGCATTGCAAGTATAATTAGTTAAGGTGAGGTCACAGTGGAGTGGGGTGGATTCTTAATAAGATTGATATTAAAAGGAGAAATCTGGCCCTGGCCAGTTTGGCTCAGCGGTTGGAGCATTGGCCTGCAGTCCAGAGAGACCTGGGTTCAATTCCCGCTAAGGGCATGTACCTCGGTTGCAGTTTGTCCCCGGCCCTGGTTGGGTTGTGCGGGTGGCAGCCACTCGATGTGTCCTGTTCACGTCAATGTTTCTTTCTCTCTCTCCCTCTCCCTCCCTCCCACTCTATTTGAACAAAAAATGGAAAAATGTCCTTGGGTGAGGATTAAAAAAAAAAAAGGAGAAATCTGGACACAGACATGGAAAAGGAAAAGGCCACAGGACTACGGAGGCAAATATCAGGGTGCTGCTTCTACAAGCTGAGGAACACCAAAGATTGCAAATGGCTTCCAGGAATTGGGAGAGCATGGAACAGATTCTCCCTCAAAAGGAACCAGTACTGCAAACACTCCAACCTCGAACTTCTACCTCCAGCACTGGGAGAAATGTGTTTTTGCTGTTGAAGCCCCAGTCTGTGGTACCACATTAAGGCCACTACAGAAAACGAAAAGCTCCGCCTTTCCCTGCAAACTTGATCCTTTCAAGATGACCCAGAAAAATCCCCCAGGGTCCCCAGCACAAAGCCGGCGACTGAGAACCAGTGCATCCCAAGAGAGCGGGGCTCGCCAACAGGAGTGAAAATCCTGGTGGACTTGACGGTGGCACAGGGGAGGAGCCCTGCCCGGGACGGCGGACTTCGTTTCTGGGGAGGAGCAGAGCGGAGCTGGGGTCCCCACCTGCCTGGTCCCCACCCCCCACCCCCCCGAACTCACTGATGGAGAAGCCGCTGGGCTCTTCCTGGTTGACTCTGCAGTGCTCCAGCAGTAGAGCTCCGACGGGCTGGGGACAGACGAGCCGGATGGGCGGGCCATCCGGGGACCCTAGCCACCCCCACCTCCGACCTTAGCCCGGGGCCCGCCTTCCCGCCGCCCTACCTCGGCCTCGTCGGTCCGGAAGTAGAAAAGGAAATTGACTACCAGCTTCACCAGCCGCCGTTTCACCACTGTGGATACAGTGCGGGCTCTCACGGGCTCCGGGACCGCCCATCCCGCCCCGACCCGCAACCCCTGCCCGCCTGTTCTCTGGCCCATAGCCCCTGTCCCACTCACCGCTGCTCTTCTTTGGGCCCCGCATACCCAGCTCGGCCGCCAGCTCGGCCGGCTGCCGGGACAGCGCCTGCAGCTCCTTCTCGTTGTAGCGCATGGCGCCACACGAACCAGAACGCGGAGTAGGGACCGCGATCTCCCGGCCGCCGTCCCCCCTCGCGCCAAAAAAGTTCTGCGGTGCGGTCCCGGAAGCGTTCCCGAAGCTATTGCGCCTGCGCCTCCCCGACCGCTCAACCTGTCAATCACCGGCGAGGGGCACTTGCGTCCTGGGGGCCAGATACAGGATGGAACCCTCGTCGGGCGGATGGGATAGCGGCCTAGATGGACGGTCATTACATGTAACCATGCAATAAGTTGGCCCCGGGTTGGAAAGAAAGCACCCTCTACTGAAATGGACAGGAAAAGGAGGAGAAGGGCGAATCGCAGCCCTCCTCCCAGGACAACTGGCCTACAGCGAGTTAGATTGATCGAAAGGTGTTTTTTGTTGTTTTGGGTTTTTTTTTTTGTTTTTTTTTTGAGAGCCTAATGGGCATGCGCACTTCGGCTTTCGTCCCACATTCTCAGTCCCACCCCCTGCCCTCGCGCCTCCAGAGTCTCTCTCCCGCGCTCTTGGGCAGGCCAAACATGCGCACAAGGGAGGTCCCGCCCCGTTTGCCTCCGGAAGTGCTTCTTTAGCCCACCGCGCTTGTGCGCAGGACGAAGTCGTAGTGGCGGCGGTGGCTGAAAAAGCGACGTGATCGCGTCTTCGGGTGCAGGTGAGGAGCGAGGCAAGAGCAGCAACCACGGAACAAATGTGTGCGAGGGGCGCCTGTGGTGCTGTCTGAGGGCGGGCTGATGCGTCGTCCACTCGTGAATGTCAGGCCTTTGTGTTCCCGGCGCCCTACAGCTCGATCGCAACTCTCCAAAGACCCGCTGAGATCCTGTCGGTGTGGCGGCTCACGTGGCGCCGGCCGTGTAACGGAGGACCTCTCCGCGCACTAATTTGCGTCTGTTAGTTGCCTGGCTCTGTGGTCCTAGAGTCACAGGGCTCCACTGAGCCTCATTTTCTGTAACTGGAATGGGAGTAATGGCGGTCACATGTTCCAGGCCAACTAAATAATAAGTAAGGTCCTAGGAACAGAGTGTTCAGCACCGCGCCGAAGGTCACCAGAGCCTTTTAGCTGGCCCTATTTCACCAGCGAAGCCCCGAGGTTAAATGACTTCCCCACTGGTCAGACTACGACGTTCTTCTCTATACCCCTTGGCAACGCAGAACGAGGGAGAGAAGCTTCCGATAATAATCTGTTTATCAGGTTTAACGAGATAATAGCCTGTTCATAAAAAGTTGTCTTTCATCCTTTATCCTCCTTGGCCACAGAGTCCATCTCTGCTCAATGCTTAAAGCTGTTCTTTACCTACCTCTGTAAATAACAATTCTTTCTGGATGTGTCGCTTTTAGACGCGGCCTTCTGACATCCTACTGTGATTGACGATGTCTTATTTCTGCCTCCCACCCACCTTCACCCTTCCTACCTGGATGTGTTTATGTCATGAGCATTAGTCAGATCATTAGTTCTGTTTTTTTTTATTATTATTTCTTTCTTTTTTTTATTTTAGAGAGAGAAATATTGATTTATCGTTCCACTTATTTATGTATTTATTGGTTGGTTCTTGTATGTGCTCTGATTGGAGAGCGAATCGACAACCATGGTTTCGCCCATGGTGCTCTAACCAACTGAGCCACCCCGCCAGGGCCAGTTAGTTCTGTTTTCAGAGACTGAGAATATTGTTTACTGTTAAGGCAAGTAACATTCATCTGTGCTGCTTTTCTGTACTGTTCATTTTTTTCCCCCAAAGCTAATTAATTTCTTCATTTTTTCTGTTAGCTTGATTTCCTTTTCATTTTTTAATTGTTATTGATTGATTTGAGAGAGACACTTCAGTTTGTTGTTTCGCTTATTTATACATTCATTGATTGCTTTTTGTATTGGCCCTGACTGGGGATTGAACCTGAAACCTTGGTGTATTGGGACGATTCTCTAACCAACTGAGCTACCTGGCCAGGACCCTGATTTTCTTTGCCAGCTGTTAATTTTTTCCTCAAAGTTCCAGTATTTCACACAGCAATAGGTTGTATTTTTCCACAGGTTTAAAAGAATTGATCCTTTTTTTTCTCTTTTTCCCAGACACTGGCATTCTTCTTCTCCACTTTGTTCTGGTTGTTCACCTTACAGCAAAACAGTTATCCTAGAACTTGATGTTAGTTAGCACTCTCCTGGGTTGGCTTCTGTTTTCAATCTGTTTTCTTCTCTTCCTTCTATAAGCTCATCTCCTGATAGTTTTTGAAGAAATAAATTGATCAAGTGCTTGATTTTGAGTTCTTGGTTATTTGAAAATGGCATTATTTACCTTCAGAGTTTGGGTGTAAAATTAAAAGTCTGGGTTGAAGATCCATATTGAGACCTGTGAAAGCATTTCTTGGGTTCAGTGCTGTTCTGAAAAGTCTGGTCCCATTTTGCTTTCTGACCTATTATTTCTTTGTCTAGTAGAAACAGAGTTTTCCTTAATGGTATATAGTTTCATGAGCCATTTATTGAGGGTCTTTTTATTTAAATGGGAAGAATTAGGTCTTTTTAGTGCTGGGGCATATTCTTTTACTTCTTTGATAATGTCTGTTTCTTTGATAATATTGTCTGTGTTTCTTTCCTCACTCTGAAATTCCATCTAGGTTCTTGTTCTGCTCCTCCCTTTTCAATTTTTTTTTTCTTTTATGAGAGATTTCTTTGACTTTTACCTTTAAGTGCTTGTATTCAACAGTTTGGATCATCCAGTCTCTACTCTCCAAGGGTTCATTCACCAGACTGACCTTTGGCATCCTGTTCAAGTTTCATGGTACAGTAACTTCTCTGATAATTGAGGATTTTATTATCTATTGAGGTTTCCATCAGGTGTCTTTCTCGTTGGGTGCATTGTGATTCTTTGTGTCTGTTATATGAAGTCATAAGCTCTATGTGTGAGAACCATGCTTCCTACCTGTTGGGTCTCACTGCTCAGTGAGCCTGGCAAGGAGCTGGTGTTTTCTTTGGGGCATGGGGGACCACCCTCTTAACTGTCAGTGTCTGAGAATACTTTCCTTGAGTTCATTTCCCAGAAAAGTCTCCTGAAGTGCTTCTGGGCTGGGGGCCTCCAGGCTTGGCTGGCTGCCTTCTGGACACGGTGTGGGAGGGGCAGTCTGCCTGCTGGTCAGTAGGCAGGTTTTGATGGACTCCCTCTTTTCAACCTGGCCCTCACAACTGAGAGGCCCCTCATTCCAGTTTTTCTGCATATACAACTGATTCCAGTGGGGGCTAAGGGAACCACATATAGAACTCAGAGTGTGAGTTCTCGTTTCATTCAGGGTGGGGGTGCCACCAGGAGAGGGACGACATGTGTGTTGTGGGCTCTGAGTAACCAATAGTTTGATTCCCAATAGGTACTGGCTTTTAACTCTAATCTGGTGAGTGGTTAAATGTTTGCTTGTGCTTAGATTTCCCTGAGACAATAAAGTTCAGCAGAAACCTTTCTCAGCACCAGCCTGCCACTAGTGTTTTAGAAGCTTATTCTGGCCATTTAGGAAGGCGCTGGGCTTGTTCCAGTCCCACAGAAACTGAAAACTGGTCCCGTGGGGGATTTTAGACATGGTGTGAGGATGAGGGTTTGGGGGTGGCAAGAGTGAGGGGTGAGAAACAGGTGGGGGCGTGGTCTCTTCCTGCTCCTTCTGCTAGGCTTGAGTCCCTCAGGCCTGGGGAGGCCCCAGTGACAGCCAGCCCTGTTTGACAAGCCTACTGCCTCTCCTCTTTGGCCCCCTCAGGTATCTCCCCAGACCAGTAAAGCCCCAAGGCCCTCACCATGGACTTCCAGCATCGTCCCGGGGGCAAGACTGGGAGCGGGGGCGTGGCCTCCTCTTCTGAGAGCAACCGTGACCGGAGGGAGCGTCTGCGACAGCTGGCCCTGGAGACCATAGACATCAACAAGGTGAGGTAGGGGCTCCACAGCCTCTCTTTCACCATGGAGCCACATTTAAGGTTCTTGCACCTGTGCCCTTGAGCAGTTGCCTGAATCTGTGGGCCTTGGGCTCCTCATCTGTGAAAAAAGGAACTTGACCTAGAGTAGCAGGTCTCTGCTGCTCACCCAAGACTGTCTGCTGTTAGTGACCCCACATTTGAAGGTTTTTTGTTTTTTTTTTACTGTGCAAGGCATTTTGGTTTTGTTTATTAACCAGTGGCGTGGAGACTCCAATGGGGAGGGCCATGATGGCAGCAGATGTATTGATATAATTCCAGCCATAGGTAGTGAAGAGCAATGTTTTAGTTTAGCCACATAGAGCTGTTGATAGACCAGTTCTCCCCCTGCACACTACTGACATTGGGCAGTGTCAGTCTATGGGGGGCCATCCTGGACACTGGGGGGCACCAAGCAGCATCCCTCCCCCACCACTCAGTGCCAGGAGCACCCCCATTCGTGATGATCACAGATGTCTCCAGATATGTTGCCCAATATCCCCTGTGGCAAAGTGGCCTAGATGAGAGCCTGGTGGTTAGTGCATGGTTCACCATAGACTAAAACTCCCTGAGGTGTGTGGGGCCCTTGCGTGTGCCAGGCACCCTCAAAGGCCTCACTGGTGAGGTTGGTTCTATTACTGTCCCCATTTTCCAGATGAAAAAAACAGTTGTGGTGGCCAGTGGGGCGGGTCAACGATGACACAACCCCAGGGCAGTGGAGTTTGGATTTGAACCCCAATGGTCTGCTCCATATCTGCACTCAACAGCACTGTCATGCTGCCCCAGTTTATGGAAATTGATCTGTCTGGTGCACAGAACTTATAGAGGCACCTTATAGTGTCTCTGTGGCCTTTTCTCTCAACCCGCTTGTTTGTCCTCCTCTGCCTTTGTCTGCCTTGTGCTGCAATACTTGGAAGGCTGGTGGAGTTTGTGGCCAAATCCCTGTCCCAGCCCAGGAGATGGATGACCAGCAGTGCTCTTTGCACTCTGCCTCCTTCCAGACCCAAAACTGCCACCAAAGTGGGGCCATGGACTCCCCGGACACCCATTCTGCTCAGAGTGGAGTCAAGGACCAGCAATGTCCACCCCACACCGCAGGCACTTGTTGCAGATGCAGAGTCAGCCCCCAGCCCTGCCAAGTAGACTCAGGTGGTCCTGTAGAGCTGGCCCTAGGCTTCTAGTCTTCATCCAGAACAACTGCCCCAGGGGACAATAGCCATCCCTCCTTTGCCAGCCAGGGTAGAGCCCTGCTCTCAGGCACTGCTTGCAGTAGGCAGGGCTCATGGCGCCATCTCTCTTGATCTAATGGTCTGTGCCTCCCTCCCAGGACCCTTATTTCATGAAGAACCACCTGGGCTCATATGAATGCAAACTGTGCCTGACACTCCACAACAATGAGGTGAGTTTCAGCACCAACTCCCCACATGTCCCCTCCCCTGTCCCTGTGGACAAGCTTTCTGTCAGGACGTGCTGCTCCCACCTATCTTCCAGGCTTTTGTCTTATTAACCTGTTTTTCATAACTCAGCCAAGGATGAAGAAGCTCCGATTGGGGCCCGCCAATGATGCCTGGCCACTCATTCACTGAGCGCAGCTTCAAATATGTCTTTCTAGGAGAGACACTGGTCACTCCAGATGAAGACCAAGGCCTCTCTGTCCCCAGCCTTTGTCCTGCACTCCCGGCCCCCAGAGGCCACCTGTGCTGTGGATTTGCTGCTTGTCTATTTTCTGTTAATACTCATTGGTGTCATTGCTACACCAATGTGCATCTGTGATCACGGTGCACATCTTAGCACATTCGACATTGGATTTTGAGGTTCATTGGTGTGGCTCCAGTTCGTTTCCTTTAACGACTGTGAGGTTGTCTATATGATAATCTGATGATTTCTCATGTTGTACTCCCCATACAGCAACGAATAGGTCCTGTTTGCTCTTTCCCTGTATTGTTGAACAGTCTTGTATGTCAGGGTCTCTCATTTCTGCACTGTGAACATTGGGGCCCTGCTCCCAGCAGGCAGAACAGAGAGCAGGCCTGGTGACGGGGCATCCAGGCCTCATCCTTGCTCACTCTGTCCCACTCTAGGGGAGCTACCTCGCACACACCCAGGGGAAAAAGCACCAGACCAACTTGTGAGTATGTCACCCCTACTCCCAGCTTGAAGCTTTGGGCCCCGGGGTTAGGAGCTAGCATTTCTATGACATCTCTGTGAGCCACTCCAGACGATGGTGCAGAGGTGGTCTGGGGCCAGCTTGTCCTATGATCAGGACATTGAGCCCTGCCCATCATGGGTGGCTGGGTGGGTGGATACAGCAACCCGGTTGTGAGGGGAGGAACAAGATGTGCTCCTAGTAAGGAGAGAGGTGTGGGGTTCTTGGGAGGCTCCCTGGTAAGGGACAGTGGGAAATGTGACAAGAAGAGAAAGGTTCTCGTCCCATCCATTTCCATTCAAACCTTGGGACCCCCATCCAACTCCAGCCCTTCCAACCCCCTCACATAGCAGAGGCTCTCCAAGGTCGATGCAGGGCAGAATGGCTCCTAGCACCTGGGCTTGTGGCCTTGGAGGCCTGTGTGTATTAAGGGGCTGCAATGCTGTGTCCGTCCCGCCTGCAGGGCCCGGCGAGCAGCCAAGGAGGCCAAGGAGGCCCCCGCCCAGCCAGCGCCAGAGAAGGTCAAGGTGGAAGTAAAGAAGTTTGTGAAGATTGGCCGCCCGGGCTATAAAGGTACGTCTGTCTGGGGGTAGGCTGGCCCACACCTGGTTCAGGAAGCAGTGAGCCTTTTGGCCAGGACCCTGGTCCTGTCCCTGAGCCATACATACACTGCTGTTCACTGGCCTTCATTTGCCCACACCTCTCACTGCTTTCAGAGACCACCTACCCCACCTGGGCCCCACCTTCTCAATATGAATGTTCTCAAACATGACTGTGTAGGTGCTAAATCCCCTGTGTACTTGTCAGGATGTTGTGGGACCCTGTAATTCTTTGCACTTCTAATGAAGATGAGTGATGTTTGGGAGGGGTATCGAGCCTAGTCTGTCCATTTTCTAGAGCTTGGACCTAGGTCCTGGCTCCTAACCTGAAGAGAAAGTGGAGTGGGAGGGTAATGATCTGTGTTAGTGGCAGCTTACTCAGCAGGACCATTAGCACGGAAGAGGGTTGTAGTTCAAAAAGCTGGTTATATGCCTCAGTGGGAACATAGGGGACTGTGTTCTAACAAAATGTGAGAGTGTCCTGTGTGTAACTGGCACTGTAGGCAGGATACAGCATGCAAAGGCCCTGAAACAGGCCTACTTATGAACCAGGGCTATGATGGCAAGATCCATGTGGGGCTACTAAAGGCCTTTGGGCTGTGATAGGCCGTCAGTCTCTGTAATGAGTGTAGTGAGGAGAAGCTGGAAGGCTTATGGGGGAGTGTGACATGCCTAGGAGCTGTGCAGAGATCAGTCTGAGAGCTACAGGACTCTAATGCAAAGGGCACCCTCTCCTGGAAGCAGGGTAGTGCAGGCCTCACTTGCCCCACACACCTGGTACCTCCTGCCCTCAGTTCCTGCTCAGTGCTGTCCCAGGCCTCAGGGGTCATAGTAACTCAGGGTCATTCTCCTGCCACCACCTGTGTGGTCTTGGGCACATGGCATCTACAACACAGAGCTCCCAGGCCAGGTTGGTGCCGTACAGCCAGGTGACCTCCCCTGGTATCCCACCCTCCGGGATCCTGAGCTATAGGAGGGTGACAAGCTGAGACCTTTGTGTGTTGCAGTGACCAAGCAGAGGGACACAGAAATGGGCCAGCAGAGCCTCCTCTTCCAGGTGAGACGAGGCCCAGGGCCCAGTCATGAGGGCAGGGGCTCCTGGAAAGCAGTGCTGCCACTTGGCTGTGTCCCCACAGATCGACTATCCTGAGATTGCTGATGGTATCATGCCACGCCACCGCTTCATGTCTGCCTACGAGCAGAGAATCGAGCCCCCAGACCGGCGCTGGCAGTATCTGCTTATGGCTGCTGAGCCCTATGAGACCATTGCCTTCAAGGTAGCTTGTGCTGCCCACTCTGGGGGGCCTTGCTTCTGGGATGGAAAGGGCATCCTGAGGTGGTTCCTCCACCAAGAGTGAAGCCCCTGTGTGTCCATCAATGACATGCCTCTGTGTCGGGCTGGTTCAGGGATTCCTTGACTATCCTTTGCCCTGATACTGGTGAGCACAGTATCATAAACATAATTTCCCTGGGGTGATGGGGTCACTAAGCATCAAAACTAGAACATAAGCTGTTTCTGGTACCCCCAAACAAGCCCTATTCCCTCACGAAGGCCTCCAATGGCTGGGCCTGCTCTAACACTGAGAGGCATTCCCTGCCTAAACCTGGGCCCTGGGGTCCCTAAGGCCCATTTTCACCCCCTCCCCCTCACAGGTGCCAAGCAGAGAAATCGACAAGGCTGAGGGCAAGTTTTGGACTCACTGGAACCGGGAAACCAAGCAGGTAAGTCCAGGCAATTAAAAAACCTTATGGTGGCTGTCCTGGTCATCCTGTCTCCCCACCCAAGGCCCCAGGGGGCTCCACTCAACTTTTTTTTTTTTTTTTTTCCAGTTCTTCCTTCAGTTCCACTTTAAGATGGAAAAGCCACCTGCCCCACCAAGCCTCCCCACTGGGCCTCCTGGGGTGAAGCGGCCACCACCCCCACTAATGAATGGTTTACCCCCACGGCCACCACTGCCTGAGTCTTTGCCTCCACCTCCACCAGGAGGCCTGCCTCTGCCCCCCATGCCACCCAGTGGGCCTACACCTACAGGACCCCCGGGCCCTCCCCAGCTGCCCCCCCCAGCTCCCGGGGTCCACCCTCCAGCACCAGTGGTCCACCCACCAACATCTGGGGTCCATCCTCCAGCTCCCGGGGTCCATCCCCCAGCACCAGTGGTCCACCCACCAACATCTGGAGTCCATCCCCCTGCTCCTGGGGTTCACCCTCCAGCCCCAGGAGTCCACCCTCCAGCCCCAGGAGTCCACCCTCCCCCATCTGCTGGTGTCCACCCCCAGGCCCCAGGGGTGCACCCACAAGCTGCTTCTGTCCACCCCCAGGCTCCAGGGGTCCACCCCTCAGCCCCTGGGATTCACCCCCAGCCTCCTGGGGTCCATCCCCCTCCTCCAGGGGTTCATCCTCCAGCTCCTGGGGTTCACCCCCAGCCTCCTGGGGTCCATCCCCCCAATCCTGGGGTCCACCCCCCAGCTCCCCTGCCCCCCATGCTGAGACCCCCACTGCCCTCCGACGGCCCTGGAAACATTCCACCCCCTCCCCCAGCCAACTGAAAAGCTTCCCCCTCTCACTGCAAGTCTACTTTCCTCTCTTCCTGTCTTTTCTCCATAATCAAAATTTAGTGTTTTTGTACAGGGCTATGCCGTGTCCCCGATCTCATTAAACAGTTTTCTCAGGTGCCTAGGTGTACTACTGTGTCAGTGGGTGGGCAAGACACTGGAGAGACTCCTCCACCCTGTATGGGAGTGGTTCAGGGTCTTCGAGATACTGTGGCCCACCAGGACATTGGTTGGCGGCCCAGCGTGTCAGCTGTGTTCTGGAGACTGCAGGGTGGAGGAAAAACATTGCCTGCCAGCCAGCAGTGGTTCTGGGGTCCGTCCTGTGGGAGAAGAGCAAAGGAGAGGATGCTCTTTGTCTTTGGGGTCTCCAGGTCAAGATGTCTGTGTTCCTGTTGCCCCTTGGTTCCCCAGGGGCAGGGTGAGTGGACTCGAGATTCATCAGGGAACCCCAGCTGAATCTAGAGACCACCCACCTGGTGGTCTGAATACACCTAGACAACTGGTGCCTTTTGAGAGCTGTCTGTCCTCAAGGAGGCAGCTCTGCCCTCCTCCAGGCCCAGCCCCAACCCCACAGCTGTTGATGTTTGGCCCATCTGGGCTGGTCACTCCCTGCTCACATTCCCACTCCTGTCTCCAGAGGGAAAACTCAAGGACAGTTGGACAAATTGGTCACAGGCCACACTTTCTATCATTGGTGGGAAGGAGATAGGCAGCTGGGCCAGAACAGAAGGGGCTTTGAGGAGGCCCAGCCTTGCAGCAGGGCTCAGACACTGGTCCCCAAGGTCACATCCTGGGAGGTGATAGGGGTTGTCCTCCAGCACAAACACCCTGGGCTCGCCCATATAAGCAGGGTGGCCCAGCCCCTTACAGTTCCCAGGATGCAGGCTACACCTCTCTCTCAGCTGGTCCTGGTGCTATGGACAATGGGGACCCTGCTTGGGGCCAGGACCCCTGGAAAAGAGGCCTTGCTTGGGGAGCCCTCTGCAGGTACTGAGGGTCTCATATTCCACAAAGACTGGGACTGGCCAGCTCCCCAGGTCTGGCCACCAAGGAGCCAGCAAGACCCCCTGTGCCTGGTGACACTGAGCGGAGGCATCAACAGCAGTAGTGCACCCCTGCTGGTGGTGGGAGCCCTGAGGGGCTATGAACAAGCCTTCCTGGAGGCCGTGCATCGGGCCCACTGGGGGCCTCGTGACCTGGCCACCTTTGGCATCTGCACCCCCAGCCATGAGCATGCTGCCCTGCCCCCTCTGCGGTGGCTTCGAAAGTGGCTGGGGGAGCCCCGAGGGCAACGGCTGGTAATCCTGCACCTGGAGGAAGGTATGTGGGGGCCTATGGCTGAGGCTGGGCAGGAAACTGCTGTGGTCCCCTGCTATCATTCCCCTTACATGAATGACTATTATTCTCCCAAGTAAGACCCCAGACCCCTCCCTGGCCTCCTGGGGAGGTTGAGGCTATGGCCCTACTCACTTGGGCTGGGCTGTATATCTAGCCTGGGAGGTGTGTGCCCTGATCTTTACCATGTCGGTCTGGAATGCCTGGCCCACCCACCACCCCTCTTTCACTGCCTGAGAAGGTTCCCACTCCAGGAAAAAGCCAGTGGGGTGGGGGCCAGCAATCCTAAATGTCTAGTGGAGGAGTGCCCCTCCCACACAGCAGGTAGCTTGGAGTAAGAGGTGGCCTGTTCCTGAGGGCCACTGACCTCAGATACACTGCAGAGAAGGGCTGCCCTGGTATGTTGACCTCTACCCAGGAGATCCCCAAACTCAGAGACCTCAGGGGTTCAAGGATGACAGGCAGCAGCTCCACCACCCGCTGTCAGTTCTACCTGAGTCCCAGCAAGGTCCTGCATCTGGTGTTCAGCAGTGTCAAACCTACCCCACTAGTATCCCGTCTTCCAGGTGGGGTGGAGCTCCCCCTGCAGGACGTGCTTGGGCCAAAGGCTCAGGCCTCTGGCTCAGCTATCTCCATTATCCTGGTGGCAGTGACGTGGGAGCCAACACCCTCGCTGAGGTTCCAGGAGCCTCCACCTGGAGAAATCAGCCCCCCTGAGCGGGCGCTGCTGGTGCTGTACCCCGGCCCCGGCCCAGAGGTCACTGTAATGGGGGCCGGGCTGCTGGGCACCCAGGTACCAGGTTTGAGTTGGGCATTCCCGCACCCCCAAGATCCCTCACCCATAGCAGGAGAGGGGGGAGGGTTTTTTTAACCGTCTGCACCTCTGGGGAAGGCTCCAGGTGTCCGTGGTAGAACCTGAACGGGGTGGTAAGGGCAGCGGGCAGAGCAGGGCTGGCATTCTGCGCCTCCGCCCAGCCATGGTGAACTCCCAACTCCTCAGAGTCTCTGCCTATCCCGGGACACCAGCTACCTGGCGCTGGCTGTGGATCATCCTGCGGGGGCCTGGCACGGCCTGGGTCTCGCGCTAACTCTGCGGCACCGCAGAGACGGTAGGTCCAGCTGAGAGGAGCGGGCGGGGCCGCCTGTCCTGGATACCAGCCCCTGACTCAGCCCTGCTCCTTCCCCTCAGGTGCACCCCTGAGCACCGCCCAGCTGCAGGCGTTGCTGTTCCGCTCTGACTCCCGCTGCTTCACTCGTATGACCCCGGCCCTGCTCCTGTTGCCGCGACCAGGGCCCGGGCCCACGCCCATGCCTGCGCATGGTCAGGTGGACGTAGTGCCCTTCCCGTCTCCCAGGTGCGCCTTGACCCAGCCCAGGGGCTCAGGGAGGTGGGGACAGCTTAGCCTCGCCCACACCCTGTCTCCTTGGCCTTCCAGTCCGACCTGGGAGCTGGAGGAGCCGCTGCCCAGCGCCGACCCCTTCCTGGAAACGCTCACGCGCCTGGTGCGAGCGCTGCGGGGGCCCCAACCCCGGGCATCGCCATTGCACCTGGCCCTGGACCCTGCCGCACTGGCCAGCTTCCCGCAGGGCCTGGTCAACCTGTCCGACCCTTTGGCGCTGGAGCGCCTGCTTGATGGCAGCGAGGAACCCCTGCTGCTGCTGCTGCCGCAGCCTACCACTGCCACCGCTGGGTACCCCACGCCAATGCAGGGCCCCGTGTCCTCGCCGTGGGTGGTGGATCTGGCGCAACGCGTGGCTGTGGAGCTGCAGGCGGCTGCCGCTGAGCTGCGCAGCCTCCCAGGGCTACCACCCACCGCTCCACCACTACTGGCACGCCTGCTTGCGCTGTGTCCTGGGGACTCGGGGGACCCAGGCAGCCCCGGTGGCCAGCTGCGCGCGCTGCTACTGCTAAAGGCGCTGCAGGGCCTGCGCACCGAGTGGCGCGGGCGGGAGTGGAGCGGGCCGGCACGGGCACAGCGCAGTGCTGAGGCTGGGATCGTGGATGGACCGTGTACGTTGCGTGAGCTGAGCGTGGACCTGCGTGCCGAGCGCTCCGTACTCATCCCCGAGACGTACCAAGCCAACAACTGCCAGGGCACATGTGGTTGGCCGCAGTCCGACCGCAACCCGCGCTATGGCAACCACGTGGTGCTGCTGCTCAAGATGCAGGCCCGTGGGGCTGCCCTGGCACGCCCGCCCTGCTGCGTGCCCACGGCCTACGCGGGCAAGCTGCTTATCACTCTTTCAGAGGAGCGCATCAGCGCGCACCACGTGCCCAACATGGTGGCCACCGAGTGCGGCTGCCGGTAACCCGTGCCGCAGTGGCGCCCCTGTCCATATTTATTCGGAACCCAATCATCACCCAATAAAGACTACAAGCACACGGCTGGGGTGTCCTGCGTGTTTGGGGCAGGCAAGGGCCTCCATCTGCCAGCTCTCTTCTGGTGCTCAGGGCTGGGTCATCCCGGTTGGGACTGCATCCTCCCTTCACTACCACACTCCTGTCTGAAATTTCCATCCTCGTCATTCAGGTCCTGGGCCGGTTCCGCGGTTGAGGAGCAATGGAGCAGGCGATGTGGGGGCTGCAGCACTCTCTTTATTTTGCTAGAACCGGGGGCTACCAAGAAGAGGTGGGGGATTCCAGTGCAGGACCAGGCCCGGCTCAGTCCCGCCCCTTTCCAGCGCGTTGCTTCTGCTTCTGGCGACCTGGAGGCCAGTCTTCCGCGTTGGGGCGCCTCGGAGAAGCCCAGGCCTGCCTCTTCCTGTCCTCAGAATCTCTAGAGTCCCGCAGCCACAGCCGATGCCCCCCTTCATGTGCCTTCCAGCGCCGGAGTAGGGATTCCCGGGGCTCCCTGGCCGGCCGTGGCTTCTCTGCCTTCCGCGGTCTCTCTTCAGTACGCTGTCTCTCCTTCCGCGGTCTCTCCTCCTTCCGCGGCCTGTCCTTCCTCGGCCTCTCTTTCTGCAGTTTCTCCTTGGGCCCTTCGTGGGCGAGGGTCCCGTGCTTCTCCCCAGCGGCCTCCTTAGGGTCCCCTTCCACCTTTTCTGCAGCCTGGGTGCTCCTGGGAACGTCGGTCCTCTCCTCTACCTGCACCTGGGGTGCCAAGGGTCCGGATGAGGGTGTCCAGGCCACAGGCTTCAGCTGCAACGCAGATAGTGCGGATTGATAGGATCAGCGCAAATTCACTGCACCGGCCCAGGTTCCTGCTTCCGAATGAGGGCCCAGCGCCCGCTGTGGTTGCAGGAAATGCTTACCGGGGGTGACACTGGCTTCTTTGGTGCCGAGCTTGGTGGGACCCAGCGCTCAGGGACAGGTGCAGGGGTATCCGCCTCCCCAACCACGACGTCTGGGAGGGGACAGGAGAGCGTGCGAATCAGCTTGCACCAAGACCCAGACCACACGGTCCACCCCAGCCCTCACCGGTCCACCCCAGCCCTCACCGCTATAGAGCTCCCTCTCCCCGGGGACAGGCATAGAGGACCCGGTACTCGGAGACTGGGCTGGATTCCTCCCAGCTCTGGGAAAGAGTTCCGGGTCCCTGCTGCTGCGGGTGCCCCCTTCCCTCCAAATTTTCCTCATTCCGGTTTCAAAAGGACAAGTCATGTTTCTCTGCGGACTGCACGAGCGCCCTGGCGCACGAGGAAGGCTCATACCACTGAATGGGGGGGGGGGGGGGGGGTGTGCACGAGGCCCATCCTGGGCGTACAAGGTCCATGAGGGCGGGGATGGGGGATTGTTCACCGGGAAGGGGGGTACACTAAGGTCCATACTGGGAGGGGAGCCCCCTCACCCCACTCCCCGCGCTGTTGCAAGGTCCATAGTTGAAGGACGGGAAGGAGGTACACAAAACCCTTACTGGAGAGAGGGGCCCAGACTGGACCTTGGAGGTGCACGGGCCTTGCCTAACCAGGAGAGCACAAGGGGAGAAGGGAGAGGAAGACCCTGCATAAAGTCTGTGCTAGGGGTAAGGGGGCGGGGATGACGTGGGCTTCTCCATCCGCGTGGGGCGATGTACAAGACCCAGACCCTGGGGGCACAGGCTTACCCCGACACAGCTGGAAGGCCGAGCCCAGCAGCGCCACCAGCGAGGCGAGCACCAGGCACTTGTTGAGGGACAGGTCTCCCCAGGGCAGCTCCTCGCTCAGGGCCGGGGGTGGTGGCGGTGGCTGTGGGGGTGGTGCGGACTGTGCCTTCTTGCGTGCCGGGCTCCTGGGGGCTTCAGAAGCAAGTGTGGGGCTGGGCTCAGCTCCAAGGGGTGGACCTGCACTCTAAACTCGGCTCAGCCCTGCCTGGCTGCGTGGGAACTAAATTTGGCAGCTTCACTGGTATGCCGAGAATATTCTAGATAATTAACCGAAACTTAGTAGCACCTTAGCTGGTGTTATCATGAATTAGCAGAGGTTCCCAGACCTTTTAGTTACTGCCCATGACACCTGGCCACCATTCAACCAGGACCTCACATTGCAGTACCTTGTCCCCCACTCCCCCCAATTCCAAAGACCCAGCCCAGAACCCACTCCTCATGTCAGTCCATGCCCATGCCCCACTTCACCCCTGCCTCCTGCAAACCGACTTGCTCCTGCTTTCAGTCTCTCCTTGCTGGATCCTGGGGCCACTTTGGCCACAGGCTCCTTTTCTGTCTTCTTGGGCCTGACATCCACTCTGCCTGCAGGGCTACCCTCAGCCTCTGGTTCCTGAGAATCCTGTGGGGAGAACCCTGGTGTTTCCTTTCTGTCTTTCCATTGAGGGAACCCACACCCTTTCCATGGGCTGTAGAAACCCACCCTCCTTGGCCAGCATGTACCCAACTCCGGGGAGTCCTGGTCTGAAACCCTGGGGCCCCAGCTACTCACGTGGGGCCAGCTGCTGGAGTTAGCCACCCTGGGTGTCACTGTTAGTGGAAAAAGAGGAAGACTCAAGGTCAAGGTGATCCTCAGGCCAATCCCACCCCACCCCCAGGCTCTGCTGGGTGAGGGGCAGGTGGTTGCTCCCACTTTACAGATTGGAAGACAAACAGTCTCAGAGGCAGCCTCACATAAAAGTAAACAGCACGCCCTGCTGGTTTGGCTCAGTGGTTAGAGTGTCAGCCCACAAACCAGAGTCACAGGTTTGATTCCAGTCAAGGGCACGTACCTTGGTTGCCATTAGTCTTTGTGTAGGAGGCAACCAGTCGATGTGTCTCTTACATCGATGTTTCTCTCTCTCCCTTCCTCCCTCCCACTCTATCTGAAGATAAATAGAAAAATGTCCTTGGGTGAGGATGAAAAAAATAAATTAAAAAAAAAAAGTACACAGCACTCCCCTGGCAGGCTGGGATAAGAACCCCAACCTGTGTGGCCCAGCTCCTTTTTTTGCAGGGGACTTCTTATAGACCCCTGAGGCACCAGTGGACCAGAGGTGGGAAATGGGAGCACAGTTTAAGCCCATGTAAGAGTCCAAGTCCTGGTCTCTGAAGGTGTCACCTTGCTTAGCAGGAGAATGGGGGTATAGGCTTAATCCTGCCAGCACCCCACAAAATATCTCAAGCCCTGTTCTCCTGGGGCCTGCCTGGGCAGAAATCAGTCAGTGCAGAGAGGTGCTCACCCGCCTGGCAGCTGCCTAGGCCTCCATCAGGCTCCTCCAAGGCCATGGTTGTCATGGAGATGTCTGAGAAGCAGTGGGTTCAGTTCAGACCTGAGCTGTGGAGGGGGGCAGGGGTTGGGAAAGAGGGATCTTGTATTTACTGAGCCCCTGCTGTGGGCCTGGGCCTAACCTGGGCAGGGAGGACTCTGAGTACATGTGTTATCCAGCCTCTGCCTCCCCCCAGCCCTAAATGACACTGCACAGAACCCCCTTCATTTAGCAAATTCATATTCATGTAGTGCAAGGCCTAAGCACACTTCCTAACTCCCAGGCCTGCCTTGGGACCTCTCCTCATCACCCAGCCTCCCTGGGGCACCAGCATCCCTGAGCACACAGCAGAGGCTACTGTGACTCAGAAATGGCTGGGACCCACCCAAAGTCACACAGAGATGAGGAAAGAGCCCAAACCGGAACTCTGGCCCCAGGGTCAGCTCATGTTCTCTCAGAACAGGGACTATTTTTATCCAGTGCCCAAGACCCATGGGACAGGCCAGCATGCGGCCCATCCCCTTCCAGACCTTTGCCCCCAAGGAGTCCCCTTCTGAACCATTCTCACCTGCTATACCTGGCATCCTGTTCCCCCCTGGCCCCTAAATCTAGGAGCTCAAGTTCCAGCAGCCAGGATGAGCCTTGTTCTAGCCACAACAGGCAGGGAAGGGTGAGGAGGTCCTGGGGGCCTCTCTATTCCAACACTGGAGTCCCTGTCTCTTCTCACATTCTCTGCTCCCATGGGGCAGAGGAAGAAACTGAGACTGGGGACAAAAGTATTGGCCAGAGGTCTAGCAGAGAGAGTTCCAGATCATACCCTAGTCTGTCGGCTTCCCAAAGCCCTTTTCAGGGTCCCCAGGGCCTCTGGCTGCCTTTGTTAGTGTGTCCCATCCCTGGGCAGAAAGGTGACCCTTCTCTGGGGCTGGAGCAGAGCAGTGGGGGGACCTAATGGGCAGGGGGATGTGCACACCTAGGTGTGTAGGGGAGCAGCCACAGAGTTGAGGTCCCCCTTGGACCTCAGAGATACCCTCCCAGACCCCCAGGGACCTCCACCTCTGCCCAGGCCTCCCTTTGCCCTACTTACTCCACAGCCGCCACGCTGGGCCTGGTGGACAGGATGGAGGGTGGCCCCTGGAAAGACAGCAACAGGTGGCCAGAGGCAGCAGAGTGGGCCAATCAGCTCTGTGACTGGAACAGGAGGGGGGAGGTGGGCTGGGTATAGCTTGGGCGTCCCCCACTTACAAGAGGGCCAGGCATGCCCTGGCCAGTTTGGCTCAGTGGTTAGAGTGTTGGCCTGCGGACCGGAGAGTCCTGGGTTCGGTTCCCGCTAAGGGCATATACCTTGGTTGCAGTTTGTCCCCGGTCCTCATTTGGGGTTGTGTGGGTGGCAGCTGGTCGATGTGTCTCTCTGACATCGATGTTTCTCTCCCCACCCCCTCCTTCCTGCTCTATCTGAAGATAAATGCAAAAAATGTCCTCTGGTGAGGATTAAAAAACAAACAAACAAGAGGGCCAGGCATTGGCTGAGGGGTGAGGGGTCAGCATAGAGTCACTGTCAGGCTGGCCCTGTAACCCTGGAAATGTTACTTCCTGTCACTGAGCATCAGAAAAAGGGGCTCTAGAGGTGAGAGCACCACAAAGGTAAAAATGAGTTACTCCATATTAAATAACCACTGGATGACTGTAGGATGTATTGTGCCACCTTCACACATGCACACTTTTGTTTAGTCCATCATCAAATACTCCACCACCCAGCCCAGCCTAGCTATATGGGAAAATATTTTGTCTTTCTTTTTTTTTCATCCTCACCCGAGGACATTTTTCTATTTTTTGTTCAGAGAGAGCGGGAGGGAGAGAGAGGAAGAGAGAGAGAGAGAAACATCTATGTGAAGGGACACATCGAGTGGCTGCCACCCGCACGACCAACCAGGGCCGGGGACAAACTGCAACCGAGGTACGTGCCCTTAGCGGGAACCGAACCCGGGTCTCTCTGTACCGTAGGCCGACGCTCCAACCGCTGAGCCAAACCGGCCAGGGCTGTCTTTCTTTTTTAAGTAACAGCCTTATTGAGATACAATTCACACACCATATAGTTTACTCTTTGAAAGTGTACAATTCAATGGTGTTTATTTATTTAAAAAAATTTTTTTTCTTTTTATTGATTTTTTTTAGAGAGAGGGAGAGAGAGATAGAAACATCGATGAGAGAGAAGCATTGATTAGCCACCTCCCACATGCTCCCACTGGGGATTGGGCCCACAACCTGGGTATGTGCCCTGACTGAGAATTGAACCAGTGACCTCTTGGTGCGTGGGTCGGTGCTCAACCACTGAGTCACACTGGCTGGGCAATTTACTTATTTTTTTAATGGGCTTTGCTTTTTTTTTTTTTTTTAATCCTCACTAGAGGATATTTTTCCATTTATCCTCAGATAGAGAGGGAAGGTGAGAGAGAGAGAAACATAGACGTGAGAGAGACATATCAACTGGCTGCCTCCTACACAACCTGACCAGGGCCAGGAACCGAACTGCAACCTAGATACATGCCCTTGGCCAGAATCAACCCAAGACTCTTTGGTCCACGAGCTGACACTCTAATGGCTTAGCCAAACCGGCTAGGGCTCAATGGTGTTTAGTACATTTGTGTAGTTCTGCCACCATCACCTCTATCTAATTCCAGAACATTCTATCACCCCAGAAAGAAACCCCATCCCTATTAGCAGTAGCTCTACAAACCCCCACCTCCCCCAGCCCCTGGCAACCGTTACCCTACTTCCTGTCTTTGTGGATTTGCCTGTTCTGGACATTTCACAGAAATGGAATCACACACTGTGCAGCCTTTTGTGTCTGGCTATACACACATATAAGTTATAAGTTCAGACATTTAAAATATACACAGAATTAAGGAAATAGTAATGACATTATTGGCCAGTATTAGCTTGGAGGAAGTTAAAATGAAGCAGATTTGTAAAAAGGTATATGATAATTATCCTGCTTATGACTTAACCGAAAGAAAAGTTTTCACAAAAGCAACTATTAAAAGCTAATTTCTTGAGCTAGAGAACAGAGACAGATGACTGTTCCATGGATTTAAAGATCTGATTTATATCATTATACCAGCAGAAAAGGTATTTCCTTTTCTAAATCCTTGCAAGCATTGCTACAATTTAATGCTAACTTTTTGATCTTGAGAGTTACATTAATTTGAGTTTGCCATTTTAAATTGCATTGCTATGTCGTTTTTAGTTTAAAATTCTTATGTTTCTCTCTCACATCAATGTTTTTCTCTCTCCCTTTCACTTCCTCTCTCTTTAAAATCTATCTGAAAACAAAATAAACAAACAGAAAAAGGCACCAGTTTGAAATATGTCCTGCTAATTCTGGCACATGCCCTCTAGTCCTTGGCGGGTGACTGTTTTTACAGAGCCGTTGCAACGCCATGGACACCTTATCATCTGCTGCAGATGTGTAGCCAAATCTCCACAGTTTGAAGCCTTCGTTGGCCTTGCTTCTCTCCGCAGTCTTGTTTGATGCATATTAAAACTAGTCAGTTCTGTTTACTTCCCTTTTTTCTTGCTGCTTGCTCAAGAGTTTTTGTTCCTGAGAAAGACATTAGAAGAGACCTGGCTTGAAAATAACAATAAACATGGTGAAAGGTGATCCAATCAATCCTTTTTATTGTTACTTTTTAGCATTTTATTATGAAAGTTTTCAGACATACAGAAAGATTGAGTTTTTTTTTTTTTTTTTAAAGAAGTGACTTTGTTGTTGTTGTTTTTCTTTATTGATTTTAGAGAGAGAGGAAGTGAGAGGGAGGATGAGAGAGAACATCGATTGGCCGCCTCCTACATGCCCCCCACCAGGGATCAGGCTCACAACCTGGGCATGTGTTTACAATCTGAAGGGTAGCAGGTACCTCAGTACCCCACCACCACCACCACATAGGGAGAAAGCAGACAAGTACCCACTCTGCACCCTGGTCACTACCCCCTCCATGACAGCAGGCAGAAGGAGCTGTCCCAGAAACAGAGCCCACTGTCCCCACAAGAGAGACAAGACACTGACACTGCTCCCTACCTCCCTGCCCAGGCTGGGAGCCCTCCTGAACCCCTGCAGTGACTTTCCCCAACCTTCCCTACCCTAACCCTAAATACACCCCTTTTCTCCTCTACTCCTGTTTTTTTTGCAACCTGCTTCTGTTTGGTTTTGATACTGAGAGACTACATTTTCCCCCCTTTCCACCCACAATGATTGCAAATTAAAATATATTTTGGCCAGAAACAGCACATGGCATGCCAGTGAAGAAACAATCCTCCCCACCCCAAGACTCGAGGCTTGGGGTCCTGAGGCTTCTGCTGATTCCCAGAGAACTGAAGAGGTCTGGGTTTTGCCTACATTTCAGACTTCTGGTCTCTCCAGATTCTGGCCTGCCAGGTAAGGAGATCTTAGGGACACCTCACAGGACCGGTCCTGAAGGGGCTGCAAGGACACAGTCTTGAGCCCACTGTGCTGGAGGTCAGCTGTGATCTCGGTCACTTTCTGGCCTTAGTCATGGTGGGTAAACAGTGTGACCAGTGACCAGTGGCCGGCCATTGGCAGGTTCGGCTTCTGGACTTTTGGCCCTGAATCACTTGTCTGGGTAAGACACTGGAGAGCTACCAAAAGGGAAAAAACAAATTTTGAAACCCAGAGGCTCTTTCAGCCTCAATTAAACAAGGCATAAATAATAATGATACTAATCTTTTTTTTTTTTTTTTTATCCTCACCCAAGGACATTTTTTCATTTTTTGTTCAGATAGAATGGGAGGGAGAGAGAGGAAGAGAGAGAGAGAGAGAAACATCTACGCGAAAGGGACACATCGAGTGAGTGGCTGCCTACCCCATGACCCAACCAGGGCTGGGGACAAACTGCAACCGAGGCCCGTGCCCTTAGCAGGAACCAAACCCAGGTCTCTCTGGACCGCAGGCCGATGCTCTAATCGCTGAGCCAAACTGGCCAGGGCATGATACTAATCTTACAAATATGAGGATACTTTTTTTTTTTCTTAGGGAGGGATGGAGAGAGAGAGAGCACAAATATGAGGATATTTAAAGAAGCACCCTATAATGGTGGGCATGAGCCCTCCCAATAAAAGTGTGGGCCTCTGTAGAAAAACTGAAAACAATTATAAAGTTAACAGAAAATCTATTTGCTTTGTTTTCCCCATGAGCTGCAATCCTAAGCAATGTCATCAATTAAATATTTTTTCTCAGCCCTGGCTGATTTGGCTCAGCAGTTAGAGCATTGGTCCGCGGACCAAAGAGTCCCAGGTTCGATTTTGATCAAGGGCAGGTAACCCAGTTGCAGTTTGTCCCGGCTGTGGTCCAGGTCGCGCGGAGACAGCCAACCGATGTGTCTCGTTCACATCAGTGTTTCTCTTTGCCCCCCCATCTGAAAATAAATGGAAAAATATCCTCTGTGAGGATTTAAAAAAATATATATATATTTTTTTTCTCTGGGAAAATTCTTTGGTTGGTCCAACTTTTGCAACTGTTACAGGGTTTTTTGTTTGTTTTGATTATATATATTACTGTAAATTAGACATTTTTATTACTTATATTGTATAAGTACTACTGCATAAAAAGGAATTTGGAAACACATGGGGACTAGACACGTTTTGCAGAGTAAATTTCTATCAGTTTTATAATCATTCAAGGTCCATTTGGGGAAAGTTTGTTTCTAACCCAAATGAACACAGTAGATTGGGAATAAAAATGAAATAAAAGTGACTGGCAGGAATTGTAAAAACAAAGAAACAAATAGGAGTTGCTTTAATCCCATGTGATTTTTCAAGTTTCTGTTTGTGCCTACAATGTAAAATCATGAGACACAGTGGAACCCACAAGGACGTGGTAAGTGTAAAATTTAGTTCTTACGTGAAATGTATTTCTGAATTTAACTGTCGAGAGTAATAGCTTTGCTGGGGGAAAATTTTAGTTCACACAAGAAATATGAGTTTATCTGCAAAAAGTAAGATTTTTGTTTGCCAAGCCCAAACTTTAGATAAAATCTTTTACTAAATTTGAATCTCATTAGCATTGAATATTCTTTTTCATTGTAAGTTGTTTTAAAATGTGAAAGACAACCCAGCTCTCATGTGGCTCAGTGTGGAACCACGCACCAAGAGGTCCTCACCCTGGTCAGGGCACATACCCAGGTTGTGGGTCTGATCCCCACCCAGTGGGAGGCATGCAGTAGGTAGCCCATCATGTTCTCTCTCATGGATGTTTCTCTCTCTCTCTCCCTTCCTCTCTAAAAAATATCAATACAGGCCCTGGCCGGTTTGGCTCAGCGGTTAGAGCATCCACCTGCGGTCCAGAGAGACCCGGGTTCAGGTTCGATTCCTGATAAAGGCATATACCCCTGTTGCGTTTTGTCCCTGGCCCTGGTTGGGTTGTGGGGGTGGCAACCACTATGTGTCCCTTTCCCAGTGATGTTTCTCTCTCTCCCTCCCTCCCACTCTATCTGAACAAAAAATGGAAGTGTCCTCGGGTGAGGATTGAAAAAAAAAATTAATACAGAAAAAACAAAAAATAAATAAAATAAAAAACTTGGAAGACCAAATCCAAAAAGCCATCATTATGACTGATCATTCAGAGGTTATTGAAAATAATTTTGTCCTATTGAGGGGTGGAGGCCCTGGGACCCCTTTCCCCCATACCCAGGGCCTTTGTCGCCCCAGCTGTAGGGACAGGTGACCCTGCTGGGCGAAGGGACCCTAGTGATGGCGATGGGGATCACGGCAGAGACAGGGCCACAGCGAGACACCCTTAAAACAGACACAGTGCGAAGCCACCGCCTCTCCCCGCTCGGGCCCGCACGTAGAGGCGGGGCGAGGTGAGCGTGCACGCCACTTTCTCAGCGCCAAGGCGGACTTGTTTTCTCCGCGCGGCCGCAGGCAGACGCCAGCGGGAGGGGGCGGGACCCTAAACCTTTAGTCCAATTCTCGGCGTGATCTCGCCCCCGGCTTCTCACCCCTCGCCAATCGGACGCCGAGAGGAGCGTGCGCGCCTTGTTTCCCTGCGGCCGCGTTCCCGGCGGCGTAGGGGGCGTGGCCTGGCCGTGGCGCATATAAAAGCCAGCGGCGGCGGAGACGCCATTTTGCGAACGGCGAGCAGCAGCGGCGGCGCGGAGAGGCGCAGCGGAGGTTTTCCTGGTTTCGGACCCCAGCGGCCGGATGGTGAAATCCTCCCTGCAGCGGATCCTCAACAGCCACTGCTTCGCCAGAGAGAAGGAGGGGAATAAACCCAGCACCACCATCCACGCCAACCGCACCATGCCGCTTATCAGCCTGCACAGCCGCGGCGGCCGCAGCAGCGAGAGGTGAGCGCCTGTCCCCTGCCCGAAGCTTCAAGAAGTGCCGCGGCGCTGGCCTGCTTGGCGCCACGGAAGTCCCGGGAGTTCGAGACCCGCCTCCTTGTCGAGGCCACAATTGCGCGGCGGGGCGGGTACTTGGCAGGATGGGGGCGGGGCGGGCAGCGGGACCAGTTTGCGGTCTCGGGCCTGGCAGAGGATCGGGAGCGTGGGGACACTTGGTTGGGTTTGGGAGCTAGCGGGGATATGGGATCAGAATTGAGGGGGAGCCGGGGGGCGGATTTCGGGGGCGAGTTGGTCCGAGGCCAGCCCGCGAGTCCCCTGAATCTATCTGCACTTCGCGGGCGCGGCCGATTAGGGGTGACCGCGGGGGTCGTGATCGCTCTGAGTGTGGGAAAGCTCAAACAAGCGGGATCCCCAACCCGGTGCCCAATTGTGGTCTCCTCTAATTTTTGGCCCCAAAGCGCGTCGGTCTGGGTGAGCCAGGCCCCCGAGGACAGGCGGAGTGTGGCTTCGCCACGTAGACAGCGCCCCAGGGCTCTTCTCAGGGGGGGCTGTCGGACCGCCCCTCCACGCGGAAACGACCACTGCTCTTCATGCCGCCCCTTTTCGTTATGTTTTGGGTGAACGTGGTTGTGTCTGCTTCCAGTGGGCGTGGGTTTGAAACGATGTGTGCTGGTTGTAGCTGGTGAGGTTTTAGATGCCCACCCCCACTTTCCGGGTTCCTATTAGCCCTGTGGCGGTAGGGATCTTGAATGGCGAAGCACACAGGCCTGGACTGGGGGGGGGGGACGGGACAGATGGGAGCCGTGCAAAATGGAGGCGACTTTGAGACTTGTTTACACTGCGCAGCAAATGGCTGCTGGCGCTCCCGACTGCGCGATTGTGAAAATCTCCCCCGGGGCGCAGGGCAGCTCTGCTGAGATGACGCAACCCGGAGTCCTGCGGGCTGGTGCGGGAGGGGCACCTCCGCGGGCCTCTCCCCGAAGCGCGCCCTGCTGGGTGGTGGGCTAACAACAGAAGGTTGCTGGCTTCTTGAGAACGCGCTAGAATTTCCGATTTTTGCTACAGACTGTACAATGGAAAGGGGGAAGCTGAAGTAATGTGGTCCGAGTTAGAAGTGGGAAGTAAAACTTGACGGGGAGGTAG